TTTTAACTCTCCATATTTAAGTCATCTTTGTTAAGACCATTTGGAAAGAATCTGTGCGTTTTCTACTGGCGAGTCTTTGTCTTTCTCTTTCAAGAATTTTATTTCTTGAGAGTCTGGATGAGTCAAACTGGCTCTGTCCTATCCAGCTGGCCTGAGCACAAGTGGACTCCAGCAATCTGAAGGTCTCTTAACACAGTGGTCCTGCAGGATCTGGCTGAGGCCACCCAGGAGCAGCTTCCCTGTGGCTTCAGTGGCCTGTTTCACCCCTGGGCGAATATTTGATTTTGAAAATGTTTAGCTTTCACTTATTTCACCATGTGTTCATGCCAAAAGCCCAGGCATGCCCTTGTATTTGCTAAAGGTCTGGCTCTGGCAGCGTGGCGTGGGAGGATCTCCTGTCATGCAAAACCTGAGGTCAAACTGTCCGCTTGTGTTGCTCGGTGCTGCCTTGACAGTTGGCTCTGAGGTGATGTGTTTGATGCCATCAGAGAGAAAATTTTTGGGTTGCTCATTGTTATGGCTTAGTCATGCTCATGATTTTATCCCTCATGGATAGACCTCAGGGCTCGCTGTCTATCCTGACAGGCACTATTCACTGACTCATCCTGCATCCATTGGAATTGCCCTCATGGCAACACTGTGTGACCGAGTCGGGGCAGGCAAAAGGTCCCCAGGTCCCTCCTCCTGAGGTCAATAACCACAGATCCTGCTGCTGTGGTGATAGGGGCTTCTGGGATACACATGTACATAAAGATATGTGCCTCAGACCAACAGAGGAACCCCTAAAATAGTACAGGAGAAGGGAAATCAGGCTGTGTTAGTGTAAGACTGCTCGTGGAGGAGTCACTGGCAACAGGGCCCTCAGTGAGGGCAGGCACCTGCTGCCCCAGCTGGAGCCAGTCCTGCACTGATCTCTCTGGCTGCTCCAGTCCTCTCTTCCCTCCCTCCAGGCTGCTCCAGGCCTTTCTCTCAGTGCCTTTGCAGCCAGGTCTGATCTGTGCTCCCTCAGCTCCTGTCGGTGCCTCCCAGCCCGTGCCCTGCTGCCCCACTCAGCCCCCGGTGCCACTGCTCGTCCCTCCCCACAGCTGTGAGCTCCACGGCCCTGCTCCACTGCCTCCAACCTCACTGAGCACCCTCAGGCCCCTTCTCTCCTCTTCCACCTTTCCTTACTTCATCTTTCCACCTCCCCAGATGAGCCCTGTCCCGCTGCCCGGGTGTGACAGCCGTGACAGGCACCGTGACACCGCTGCTCCTCCCCTGGCTCGTGGCCGGGCAGGACTCAGCCCTCACATCTCACTGGGGTGCAGAGGTCCTTGTGTTGAGCTGGGTCTTTCCTCAACAGACCTCACCCGGTTTTGTGGCACAACCAGTCCCATCCATCAGCCCATCTCCAGGTGCTGACAGGCTGGACAGGGGCCAGGCTCTGCTCCTTGCAGTGTTTAATCCCAGCACCAAGTCCCCAGGACACCGTAGACCATTGGGTTCCGCTCAGGCATAATCCCATCATTACCACTGATTTGTTCGCTCCCGCTCCCCACGGAGCTTTTAATCAACTCTCCATCTTTGTGCCTTCACACCTTTACGCTTTTCATGATTGGCTCTGCTACCTTCTGCCTCTGCAATGAAATAGTACCATAGAAATCCTCCTGCCTCTTACATACATTAACAATCCCATTTCTGCTCTCTCTGGTCCAGTGAAGGGATCTCCCTCGCCCACAAAGACACCACTGTCTCTGGCAGGCGCACGGGGAATAGCTCCTATTCATTATTCCCAAAGTCCAGTACAATGGGTTATAATTAGTTACTGGCCTCTTTGGTTTACCCTACCTTCAAAGGCTCTTTTATAGTTTAAAAGTGAAGGGAGATGCTGACATTAATTTTAGCTGTCTCTCCATAGTATTGTGCAGAGAAGATAAAACTAACATGCAGGTAAAGGGATAAGTAACTCACTAGCCAAAAAAAAAAAGAAAAGCAAGCAAATAGGGTCATCATCACATTCATTTCATGAAAGTAGCGTGGTGTTGGGGAGAACTCATTAGCCTTTTTGTTCTGCATTATCACCATCATTTATCAGCAGTTGTATCACATGTCACAGCCACTATGCTTTCTGGCATCCAGTGTGGGACCAAAGGACTCCCAGGGAATGCTGAGTTTGGACGCCAGGGCTGTGCCGTGTGATGCACTAGGCACTGTATTAATTGTGGCAGATAGAATTTTTTCCAATATACTCCTAAAGGGACACTCAATAAAGCAATGCAGTGTGATTTACCAACTCAAAGAAGCATGGACAAATAAAGCCACATCATGGGCCTGTCCTCCTTTCCCCTAAACCTTCATTTGGTTGTTGGCGCTGGAAGTGTTGCAAGTTGTTTGAAAACAAAACAAGCCCAACCCACAAGTGAAGAAAAAACAAACATTAGGCTAATCAGTCCACACAAACACAGGCTGCTTTCAGTGAAACACTTCCTTCTGGTTCTGTCTCCAGTGATGGTGGTCTGTTAAATCTTTAAAGAAATCTGCTGCTTCTTTAAGCTGTGGCTCTCTGATCACTTCTGTGCACACAGGCACAGCCCTCCACTGCAAAGCAGAGTTTGGGAGGTAGTTTTAGGAATCAGCCAGGAGCTCCTCCATGAACCCAGTCCTTTAATTACCCAGTGGTAATTGCCCACCTCTTGCATCAATGCAGAAATATGTGGGAAGGGAGCAAACTGCAGCCTTGTCCAAGCAGCTGGAGCTGCAGTTATCGGATCAAGTCAGCCCTGTAAGAAAGTATCTGATGTACAAAAGTGGTGCACATCCACCATCCCATCTAAGAGGACGGGAAACAGCATCTTTAGATATTTTGAGCATCAGAGCAGGATGTGAAGGGGCAAGTCAGTGAACCCTGTGACTCAGCTGCTGGGAGCAGCAGCATTTGCTTACCCCCAGGCAGATTGTGAGGATTAATTAATATTTGCAAAGTGCTTTGAAGATGAAAAGTAGCACGTTAAGGACTATAAAGTATTATTAATAGTGATAACAAACTGATAATTTTGGAGCATATGAGTCTTTTCTTAACCTTTTCTAGAAAGCCCTTACATTGCAAACAGCTGAACGAGTGACAGCGCTACAGCCAGAGTGCCTGGTCCCCTGTTTTCCAAAGCACTGGGGTTGTGCTGGTTGAGCGAGGCACTAAGGAAGTACAAACCACATTCCTTTTCCCCTCTGAGCCCTGCAGTGAACAGGAGAAGTGCTCTGGCTCTGGGCAGTCTCCGTGTGCAGCCACGCAGGGAAGGTCGAGGGCAGGAGGGAGTCTCGTGGATGGGACTGGGTGCTGCCAGTGATGGCTCCTCCTGTCACCCCTTTGCATTTCATGCCAAGAAAACCAGGCCCTGGTGTCAGCCACAGTCAGGAGGAAGTCTGTCAATGTATTTAATTTGAAACAAGAAACATTTTCAGGCTTGTATGGCCCAGGTCCTTAAGGCCAGTTTTCTGGCATTATGAAATATGTTTTTCCTCTGAAAACGTTGAGATCTAAGAATTTTGTCTGGAGTGTAAACAGTAGGACTCTCATGAAGAGTAAAATTTATTTCTTAGCTTGATAGGGTCAAGTAACTCTAACTGGGATTAGCTAATGTTTCACAGAACCTGATGTTTTTGTGGCTGGGGAATCCCTGGAGGAAGGAAGATATCCACGTTTGATGAAAAGCTCCTAATAAAATTAGATACTGCTTCTGAGCTTATCAAAGGAAGATGGAAAGTAATGAAAATTAAAAGTGCAGCTCTGGCATCTTGTAAAGTCCTGACAAGATAGCAATCTGGAATCCAGTGTCCATAGGTTTTTTTCCTCTTTCTGCCCCATATCCCCACGTCCACACAATCCTGCACACACTGCCTCTGCTTTTTTCTCCAGTCAGATGACCTTAGTTATGTCCCTCTCATTTTCCCTCTCTGAAGTTCCACCTCTAAACCTCCACCAAAGCCAAAACAAAACAAAACAAAAAACAAACAAAAACAACAACAACAAAAAAAAAGCCCCCAGCAAACAGGCTGGGATAACTCACCAAATCCCAAACTTTCTCTGATGAGGTGTTGCTAAAGACAGGGATCGCCACCAAAAAAGAAGGTTAAGCTCCAAGAGATCAAATAAAGTTGTCCTGTTCCCTTAATTCCTTTCAGAATTATTAAGTGAAGACTTGGGACATTTTCAAAAAAAGCAGGAATCCTTTTAGGAAAGGGAGAAGGCTCATGGCTTTGATGATTTGTTTGTGGTCAATAAGCAAACTAAGGGGCCAGTGTTCTTCATGACTTTTACATGAGCAAAATAGACAGTGAAAGGAAAGTGGAAATAAGAAAGGATGTGTTGAAGAAGGGGAAAGAACTCTCAATACTGCCAAAAATATGTATTTTTAACTGTTTGCCTCCCTGTGTGCAAGCAGTTAACCTTTCTGCTCTATCATAGACTGGAAATAGGAAAGATTTTCTGACTGTTTGTCCCATGCCTGTTTTCTGTGTTCCTTTGTGAGACCTTTATCAGGGAACTTGCTTGTCAGAGACACCAAAAGAAATACTCTGCACTATTCTTTTCCTTTCCATGGGGCTGTCCCAAGATAACCTCTACCATTCTTGATACTGGTTTCTAACAGCAAAGTGTTGGGTTGAACAAATGGGGAGCAACACATGCTGTCAAACCCCAGGGGGGAATGGTGGTTTTATTGCTGCCTGGTGTACAACAGGGATATAAAATCTAGCTGTCCAAAATCTGGAATCTGATTGCTCTTTGGATCACTGCTGATGCACCCTTATACCCTTATAGCAAGGACACTGCTCAGGTTTTCTTTTATATTTTCCCCCTCCTTTTTTCCCCCAGGTTGCTTTAATCTCTAATATCAGCAATAATCACCGTGGCATTGTTGCCTTGGCATTCTTGAAGAGTTAGGAGTGGACTGTAATTGAAGAGTTCATTACCAAGATCAGTTGGCTCCTTGATTACAGTGGCAAGGTGAAATATATATCCTCACCAAAAAGCAACTGCTAAACCTTTAGAGAAGTCACCCACTTTTCACTCTTTTTCATTAGGACCCCGACAAGCTTGTCAGCAAAATTAAAGGTATGTCATTCACATCGTGCATGCATTGCAAAGGACTATAAACCTGCCAACCTCTTTGATGAAATAAAAGGGTTTTATTTATGATTCATGTAGGAATATGAGGTTATTTTTATTCTGTCAGTACACTAATAATCAGACAAGAGCTCAGGAAATGAGAAGGCAAACTGACAGGGAAGGTTCTGATAAAGGGGAACCCTCTAGGGTATTTTGCCCCCTTTGTAATCTCCTCTTTAGTGCGAGGTTATAAGCATGGCATAGCATGATCTTGCAACTAGCTTGGCTCACAGGAACAAAGAGAGTGACTACCTAGCAGGACTTGAGGTATAATTCCACCAGAAAAAGAAAATACTTCCACCAGAGAGGTCTGCATTGCTGCACTGATGCGAACAGGAACTCCCCATCCGTTTTTCCAAGAGCACAGTGAGTTGTAAAGAAACCCTTCTTTTCTACTTGCTTTCCTACTGGGCAACATAACCAATCTTCCCAACAAAAGAAAAGAGACTGTAAACCTCCTACAGAGCCACTGCAAATTTGTTACCTGTTTGTTTTATACTAATTTTTACGGGACCCAAAGCTGGGCATTTTTCCAAGCGCTCCCAGTCCGGCTCAACATGAGATAGAGCAGCACAGAAAAGGGAGGATGGGGAAGTCCCTGGTCAACATTCATGCCAGCAGAGGAGCTAAGTAGCAGGCTCCATTTCAAACCGTGTCTTCCCCTGGATGTTTCAAGTGTCTTGGCAGTTTGAAGCTGCTTTAGTTGCGTCCCAGCTCGGCAGAGCTTCTGGAAGTGCGTTCCGTGCTCCTCGGTGTAAGCTGTCATTCATCCCACGAGCACAGCCATGATTATGGAAACACTCCTCGTGAGTAAAAAGGGATCACTGTGTTAGCTGGCTGGCCTTAAGTACGGTGGTTTGCTGAACAGTGGTGTGCTGGCAGGAAAACACAGCCTAGCAAAATATATGCAGGATGAAGTGAAACAAAGTTCACCGGAGGAAGGAAAATAATACTAATCCTTCATTCAATAAGCAGCGAGTTAAGTACATTCTGCGTGTGGAAGAAATGTAAAAGCCAAGGGAAGAAAGCACACACATAAAGGTGATGGGACTGCCTTCCTCTCTAAAGACAACATATGGGGCATTTAGGTATTAATAACACGGGGAGTTATACCCAAGCTGCTCACACGAAGGTTTAAGGTTTCACAGAGTTTCAGGGTGTTTGAATTCCCTCTAACCAGAGAATCCCCTGGAAGTGAGGGACAGTCCTAACTTTTCCACAGATTGGTAAATCAGTGAACAGACATGCAGAGGATAACAACCAGTGTTTGAGATGGGATTATAGTCACCCTGCAGTGCTGTCATCTCTGTGGTAATTTTACGTATTCAAACTGGAACCTCACAAAGGTTTGGACTTGGCTACGTGGGGCTGGCTCTGTAAAGGTGATCCAGGTATCAGAGATACACCGAGCAGATACAGTCTGGTTGTTGGACCTAAAACTGGTCTCTGTGGTGGTTTTGGGATACTCCAGAGTGACACCTTCCAGGCTCTTGTTGCTTGCCCTGTGCCATCCTACTGATGCTGAGATTAGGGGTAATTTGTAAGGCATGTGTTTCTTTTAATGGAAATCATAAATCACAGAGGGCCTCAGAGAAATATAGAGCCTGACTGCACTGCTGCCTACAGCGTTTTACCTGTTCCTTTTCTTTGCCTCACAGTGCTTTCTGGGTAGTCACTTGCTTTCTTTTCCCATGGATAGACATGGAATCTGCCTTTCTTCTTGTTAGTGTGGAGATTTTCCATCGTTTGTTTGTTTTTGCTACAGCAGAAGGATTTATAACAGTTTGAAATTCTTGATGGCAAAACCTGCTGCCGTTAGCAGGGGAGCTTGAGGACAGAGGCAGTACTTGAAAGTATTTGAAAATTAGATGTCAGGGGCTGGAAGTGGCAGGATCCTGCTGTTTGCAGAACACTTGGTGCTCGTCCTTGCTGAAAATCTGGCCAACTGGCGAGAGCCAGCCGGGTTTTTGACTACTCTGTGATGTTGAAAGGACACAGAGTAGCCTCAAGGTGCTGCTGTCCCTTTAAAAACCTCCTTCCGTCTGTTGACTCGGTGATTTACAACAAAGCATAATTTCATTTCTCTCAGCTAATTACGAACCGCTCCCTTCCAAACTCTTGATCTTTTCACACAGCCGAAGGCATCGCTTGCAAAGCAGGCCCAGGATTTGGGAGCCTGCACCGCTATTCCCGTGGCAGCCGAGTGCTTCTCCTTGTCCCTGCCGAGCCTGCCATTGTGCTGGGAAGTGGAGCAGGTAACTATTCCATCAGTCCGAGGTTTCCTTCTCGTGGAGCACGGAGGTTCATTATACCCACTTTATCAGCAGTACGGTTTACTGCCGAATCCATGAGAGATATTCATGTGAAACATGAGCAGAGAGAGAGGCATTGCATCTTTTCATTAATAAGCCCTCTTCTGGGATCCGGCATTAGTGAGATTCAGCGGATCATAGAGCACAGGGGTATCATTTTTACATGATTACTCTAAATTCTTAAACCAGAGGCTTAAGAGAGAGGCTTCTCACAAAGGCAGCTGTGGGAATTGTTAAATGATTGGCACAGCACTCATGATGGGCTGAACCACTCCGGGTACCTCCAGTCATGGGGGGTACCAGCAGGCGTTTTATTACCTGCCATCGAGGGAAAAGTGGGAAAGAGGGAGTGTATCAGACAGAGGAAGACGTGCTAACCCTGCAAAATATCCCTGTAGTTCTGTCTCTCCTCCTGAACAAAACTCTTGCCATAATAGCGATGCAGGGCATCATCCCACTGCACAGGTTAAGCTGTTCCCTTCCCTTCCCATGTCTTCCTTGTGTCTATGCTTATTTTTAACCTGTCTGATCTCACCTTCATTAGTGTGGCTGCTGAAATAATCCCCCTGCAACCTCCACCCCCAAATAATTAACTTTTGACTGGGCAGAGGGTCATTTAATTCCACCAAACACGACACTCCTGAGATATGTTGTCTACACAGGATAAACCTTGGGTGGCTCAGAGCAGTGGTAGACAGCCAGCAAACCTCTGCTAGGTTGTGAAGGGATGGCATTTACAACAGAGAAAGGCATCTGTGCATTCTGGAGACCTACATTGTCTTTCTGATGTCATATTTCTTCTGTGATTTCATGTAATTCCATCCAAAATCCCTGCATTCCACTCCCACCGTCGTAGCTGCTCAGTCCCGTCCTGCTGGGCTGCATTCAAACCAAAATCAGGAAGTTGATGTGGCTGAAATAAAAACTCTTTTTTTTTTTTCCCTCCCTGGATTAGTTTTCAGATGGATAAGTTCCTCAATCAGTTCCAAAATACAGATGCACAAATGCTTATCCCAGCGTGAGAAAAGGGACCCCACAGGGACCGAAGGGACTGGGCTGCTTCTGTCATTGACAGCCAGAAGTGTTGGCTGAGCTGTGGCTTCCAGTCCCCATTTAGGAAATGGAGATAACAGTAATTCCTTATTTCTTGACTTCTTATGGTGGGGAAAAGTGTCAGCGTTTGCCACATGTGTTTGCATTTGTCCATGGAGCTGGATCATAGAGCAGGCATTAAATCCATGCAGGCTGCACTGCCTGGGAAGGTCGGTGTGCAAGGAATGAGGCACCAAGGAACACTTTTAGTGGGAGATAAACTTCAGAATTGATACAGTGAGTGAAAGTGTGATGCTGAACTGCAAACCACGACCTGTGAAGCCTCAGTGCTCTCTTCCTGAATCCGTACCTGTCCTAAAGCCCCTGCTCTGACAGCAACAACTGCCAGAGTCTTCCCAAGGTATTGTTAACTCTGGAAGAGGAAGGTGACCACTGCTCCCTTTACATTTCTTTGGTGAGTGGTAGCAGGAAAACTTTTCCTCAGTTATTTCTCCAACATGTTGAAGTCCAGTTGCGAAAACCTCCCGCTTCCCAGTCAGCCTGATCCTGACTGAAAATAGCTAGAGATTGTTTTGAGCTCCCAAGTTTAAAAGCGAGGAGAAGGAGGAGGTGAAGGAAAAGGAGAAGACCAGACCAGACCTATAAAAGCAGTAATCCATACTGGAGATTTCTGAGGTCTCCTGCCATAAACTACTTTCAGCCTTGGTGTAAATCCATCAATTTTCAGGTTTTTAGTTACAATTGATTTTAGGCAGAGATGCCCCTCTTTCAGAAGCCACCTTTCAATCTACTGCTTTCTGCAAGTCTGAAAAGAAAAAGAAAAACAAGAACCAAGAAGGCGAGGTCATGTGGGGGGCTGAGAAATCCAGATCAAACAGTAAAGAACACCCGATTAGAAGCCAACGCATTTCTCTTTTCAGTATCTCTGAAATTGTTTGGCAGACTTAATTAGAAACAGGTGCAAGCTATAATATTTATTGCAACAATGCATCATTTTTGTCTGTTTCCAAGGTCATTGTTCCAGCCAATAGGAAGCCAGCAACCCACAGGGAGTATAACTTAGTCTATATGGGTAAAACGTGAATTACTTAACCCTTTATCTAATGGAATGAAATACAACGTTGCACAAAGAGCAACGCCGGCAAAACAGAAAATCCTGGGAGAAATCTTTCCTGATAACAGGTTTCAGTGAAGTAAGTGACATCACCAGCTGAGCTAATAGTGAGCCTTAGGTAAAATGGAGTAGGTACAGATAAGGAATGAGGAAAACACATTTGTTTTTTTTTTTACTACTGCTCTTTCAAAGGCCTGGGTTTATGTAGAATTTGCTGCAGTGGGAGACCATGATTGCATGTTATCTGGCGCCTCCTGTACAGCTGGGTCTCATCCGCGGCGTTGGGATGAGCTCAGCAGTGGATTTCTTTGGATATGTCTGTCTCCAGAGGGATGGGGCTGCAGATGCACCTGTACTGAGGCACCCAGGCACGGCCTCTGTGCACTGCCAGGTGAGCGTGCCAGGCATTTCAAGCGAGAGGAGCCTCAGAGAGAACGTTGTTGATCCTTCCCGCCTTTCAAAGCTGCAGATTTGGGGAGACGAGCTCCGTGCGCTTCTCCCTGTCTGAGGGAGAGCGTCCCAAACAGGGCTCACCCAGTCCCACAGCAGTTCTGTTGGTTAACAGCGACAGTGCCCTTGGTTACAAAAAAAAAGCCCCATTTTCAAAGCCTCCACTTAATTCCCTCATGTGAGTTTTTCTCATAATCTTTGCATGACTTCTTTGTGCTTCCGTGCTCATTTGGGAGTCAGGATCTTCTTTTAAATTCTATTTTACTCCTTTTAAATGTGACAAATATAAATAGGGAAACAAAGCAGCAAACGTTAATAGGAGAGATGTGTGAAATTGGGGCATTTTTGCCTTTTTTGCAAAAGCCGCAGGAAGTTGCCAATATTTCTGCAGACGGAAACTATTTTTTCCACCTTCAAATCATCACACAGCGTAAAATCTGTGGGTATTTGTGTGTCTTTGGATAGATGCAGGAAAATACAGACTGTCTCTTGAGAACTGACTCACTCTGGGCCCTTCCTTGTTCTTTTGGCACCCACAGCTCCCTGAAAGACACCTCAGCATCAAGTCCTCACCTCTGCCCAGGTTAACTGGCCTGTGTCTGCAATCAATTACTAATGTTATGTGTGATCCCAGGAACCATTCTTAAGAAAGCATCATCTGTCCATTAAATTCAGAAGTAAAATAATCCAAACACATCATATTGATGGATTTGAGATTGAATTCTGAGGGAATGTTTAGGGAGAGGCAGATCCTCCAGTCAGTTTTAGAGAGCTCAACAGAAGAAAAGATTATCTTTAAAAAGGACCCCTTCTCCCCAGCACCCACAGCAATGTCCCAGCACTAAATTCTTGGAAAGTTCAGACGTGGTTGGAAACTTTGCAGCTCAGCATCCTTGCTGATTTGTTCCCTTCAGTGGTTTTGCTATCTCACACTTCTTAACTGAGCTTGGCTCATGGCTTGCAAATCCTTTTAGTGGTGGGCTGGTGCACTTGTACATCAGCCTGTGCATCACAGCTCTGCTCAGATAATCTGATTCTAGAGGAATTTGTAAAATCCCCTGCTCTGTCTCTCCTCCTCCCCAGAAGCAGAGGGCTCGTGCAGGGCTGCTCTGAACCTGGGAATCTGTCACGATCTTCCAGCCGAGGCTCTTTGCCAACGTGTCCCAGGTGTGCACAATGAGGAGCACAAGGAAAACAAGGAGATTGTAGTTGTCCAAAGCCTGCTAGGATGGCAGCTGCCATCCTGTGGATGCATCCCTGTGCCAGGGAGCCAGGAAAATTAGGGCAGGGCATCAGAGAGCCTCCCTGCACTTGTACAGGCATTTCAAGCCCTTCAGGAGTGCCCAAAGTGAATAAATGTGTGGGGACAGGAACAAGCAAGCAAGGAATGAGTGAGGGAGCTGAGCAACACGTGGAATAACCACTTGGGACTTACAGGAACACACTGGGGACAATGGGAATGGTGATCCTGAGAGGCTCTGCTCAGTCAGGCTGTTTTGCTTTGTGTCCCAAGTGCTAAGCCATACTGGGATTGTATTTAACTGGGAATCAGGCAGCTCAAGTTACAGGTGAACAGCTTCAGTCTTGGGACATTTCTGCATTGTACTTAACTGAATAATACCTTCCCTTTCTTCTTTTTTTTTTTTTTTTTTTGCTCATTGATCAAGCTGCTTTTGAGAAAAGTGATACTTTGCATATCTGGCTAAGTGCTGTTAACAGCCTCTGCCTGCGGTTTGTTAAAATTAAAAAAAAAAAAAAGAAAAAGAAAAAAAAAAAAGAAGTGTGATCTTGCTGGAGAAGTAATTTGCTTCTCTCCAACCAATGATGGCTTGCACTTTATGCAAATTGGTATCTAGGGACAACAAATCCCATTTAATACATATGCATAGTTCATAAAAAAAACGACGTGAGAGAAAGAGAAAAAAGATAAAGCAACGAGTCAGCAAAAGAACAGGTTCCGAGGAAATTTATTGTCCCAAATTGGACATTTGTAACAGATGATGTGAACAAGTGTTAACTTTGTTTTCAGCAGCTCTTCACGTACATTCACTAGACATCACACAGATTATGTTTTAAGGATCTGAACTGTAATAAAAAAAAGTGTCTGTGGGCTTTGGAGTGTTGTGTTCCATATGGTTGGGGAAGTGCGGAGTTATTGCGACAAGCATCTTGTGAAGCTCATTACGCACGGCGGTGTGAGATGCGAATTGCTGTGCATCGCTATAGGGTACGTACATGACATCCCACAGTCAGCAGATAGCAACTGGAAATGAAAGATATGAAGGCACAGAGTACAGCTTCAGGGAACATGTTAGACAAAACATCTGCTGGTATCAGAAAGCTGCATTATCAGATCATTGTGGCCATGAATTTTTTATAAAGAGTTTTTTTTCTTTTTTTTTTTTTTTTTTTAAAGCTGCAACTTTGAAAGTGACATTTTGCGAGAAAGTTTTTGATTGAAGTGTGATGTCAGGAGAAAGGCCAGTCTAGTTTATTATCTGTGTAAGAGCCAATATTGGCAGCCTGAATCAGCTCCTTTCTCCAAGCAGTTGAGTTGGCCATTCATGTACTACAAGAGCTGTTTCTTGACGGCTGATAAAAACTCGACCCGGGTCACAGGTTGGAGCTTTAGTGCCAAACTCCTCAGCCAGGAGGTTTCAAAGTTTTTGCTCCCATGGTGTGGCTGGGGCTGCTGAACAAAATTCACCCAAGAAGCAGAACCCTTCTGTTCAGAAGGTGGAGCAAAGCAAAGCAAAGCTCAGCATCCTCACCTAACTCCCCCTTGGGTGGGACCTGCGCAGCCTCCGGGTACCTTGTCCCCGCTGCTGTGCTGAGAATCAGCTGCTCTGTCAGGGATGGCCATGACTAAAAAGTCCATCACATGTTTGTTGCTTGCAGAACCTTCTTAGCCCCACAGGCTGTTTTTTGGGAGTGTTGCCCTGCTCAGAGGGGCCTCCTACCTACTTAACGTTCCTGACGGTTCTGAGGGCAGCGAGATGGCACAAAATGTATGTGCATGGTATAACTATTTATGTTAAATGGACAGGCATTTTCCATCCTTTCACCTTTCCTGACCCAGCTGTGACTTTTCCTGCAGCAACAGGTACCAATGGAAAACCTGTCTCTGGTTTATCTATGGATGGTCTCTCTCTCTGTTCAGTCAACTGCCTCAAAAGTGCATCCCAAAGTGAGCAGACTGATTTCCTGAGCTGATCCATGAATAGTTGCCTCAAAGAAAAGACCAAAATTACCCTGATTTTTTTGGTTTTTCTAAACCTTCTCCCTGTTTATGTGTAAGAGGGTGGGAGAACGGAGGGACATGTCCAAAAGCATCATTATTTATGAAAGGATTTAGTTGTCGGCAGCAATTTTTTGTGTAATGCTGTTCATTAATGTAATGGGGCTGCAGATAAAGCCAGAGATGGTTCATCCTCTGTCACTGGTACTTAAAGAGCCTGGAAGTAAGTGAGGGGTTGTGCTGGGCCGACCTGTTGCTGAACAAGGCAATCATGAGGTGAGGAATAGAGCTGCTGAGAGCAGCTCCCTGGGATGAGCCCACCCAGGGCACAACTGGAACATCCTTTTCCCAACTGCTGCCTTGGAGTAGCATTTAAAACCAGCAGGTGTACAGGACATGCAGATCCAGGTTTGGCTGTGCCGCCTACCTAGACAGGAACTACATCAGGAAGGTAATTCAGTGTTCTTGCCATTGTATAAAAATAACCCTAATGGGTTTTTGTGATTGCTTCCTTGGGATGAGAGGTTTAGAAAATACTTAAAGATAAATTTAATGAAAAAAGAAGCAGATCAAAGCTGAGTAGTTGTTTGCTGTTTTGTTTTTTAAAACCTGTTTAATTAGAGTTTGGAGGTTGGAGGTTTACTATGAGTGGAAATTTTGATTTTAACTTGCTCATGTATCTGGAAATGAAAAGCTGAATGTGGGTCTGCATTTCCCAGAGGCATCTCCACTTGACTGGCTTCAGGTGTGAAGCTCCAAACCCTGGGATGCTCTGGTTTGGAGGGGGATGAGAAGGAAATCTGACCTTATCTGAATTTCAGTAATCAAGGACATCTTTATAGCTGTAAAAATGGGAATCAGAGCCTGCTGCATTTTTAATATTCTTTAAAAGAGTGAAAAGCTCCTTTATCTGAAGCTCAATGTTCCTTTACTGGCTGCACACCCACACCTGCAGGGAGTCCAAGGAAGACTCTCCATTGGATTCCCACTGCTTAGTGGGAACTCGCCTGGGCAAGCTCATCTCTCCACACTGGAGATGTCTTCCTCTGTACCTGTGTCCCAGCATCCTGGTAGGAAACTGTGTGTACCTGGAGTCAGGAGACTGGCAGGACTAGAGCCCCTCAAAATGAGACATCAACCAAATTTCTTCTTAACTGTTGTCGTATGCAGTGACCCAACACTGAGCAAAAATGAGTCCTGCAGTCAGTCCTGTGTGTACAAAGCAAGCGGAAACATTTAAGTGCCTCTTTGGGCAGGCAGTCAGGTACTGCTTCATCTGCAAGCCAATATATCAGCATTTCCTAATGGGTCTGTGCTAGTGCAGTAACCAGGCTTTTAACTGCAGAGGCTGAAACGTGAACGTATAGCCCATCCCCTCCCTTTTTTCCACCTTTGCTTTTAGTTTGGGTTTTCACCACATTTGAAAGATTTTGTTGGCTGTTCTTCAACTTTTCTCTGTCTCTGTGTGCTCTCCCTGGTAGCAAAACTATTTCTAAACAGGTGAGTGTTTCAGAGATGGAATAGGTATGATTTCTTATAGAGCATGTCTGCATGGACATACACAAACACGCACACACGTGCATATGTACATGTAAATTTGGCAATGTATATAAAAATTCTGCCCCATCTCCAGCTGGCTGGAATATGGGAAGCTTGTCCCTGGCACAGGCAGTGTGTGCAGTCAGCAGAGCAAGCAGAGGGGGCAAAGAGCTGGCACTGCGATGTGGCGGGAGAGCAGGGAAGAATATATGGACATGCAGCTAACGAGAAGGGAAGGGAAGTGGCTGCAGGGGAAAGAGATATAATGGGTCCCAAATGTGGCAAGCACATATGCTGCCATACAGCAAATGCAGAGTGCCACCACTAGTGACAAGTGGATTGCACCTAAGGAAAACAGCTGTGCCAAGCGCCCAAGTCCACAGTCAGCCTCCCGACCCTGCGTCTGCCCGGCTGATGTGGATTAGACTGGTCAGGTCTGGGAGCCTCTCTGAGCCCACATTCCACAGGAATAATGGCTCAGTACAGCTCTGAAATACCCCTTGCACGGCTGCCTGGTTTGCATTTGCAATCTTGCATTTGTGAGGTTGTTTTATTTTGTTTTATCCTACTTAATTTATTCTGCTGTGCTCAGTACCACACAAACACTTTGACTGTCTGTGTAGATCATTGCATGGTTTAGTGCAGTTCTGTGTTACAAACCCTCCCACATAACCCTATGATTTGTTAATAACTTTTCTGTTTTGAAGAAACACCCTTTGACACCTAAGCTGGATCTCCTGTTCTTAGGCATAAATATAATTGTCCCCGGTGAAGAGCATCCCTCTGACTGGTCCTATCTGCTCTGTATATATTTGAATATATAAAATATTAATAAATGATGCCAAATGTTTAATCATATCCGTTTGACTCTATGAGAGTCGGTGTCTGTAGGCTTTCTGTGTTAACTGCTTCTGTGATATCTACATACTGCTGACTTGTTGTTGATCTCAAGTTTTTAAAGCAAAATAAAACTGAGGTTTGCAGTTTGATTTGAATTAATCAGGTCTGATTAGACAGGAACAGATCAGGCTGCTCTGGAAAACACCGAATCTCTCTAATTCAATTTTATGTGTTATTCAGAAAGAAATAGCTCATAGCTTAAGTGAAAGTGCTATTTATTTAACACTGGGTTTTTTTCAGAGTGGGGCATTATGATGATGATCAGGGTGTAGGAAAGAAAGCATTTTATTCTATGAAAAAACAGATATTTTAGAATGGAGTCACCTGCTGGTAGATCTCATAAATGTACATAAAAAGATGCTTCCCAATATTATTAGTTTGTTTTTTTCTCCACCTCACCCTGACTGTCCATCTAGAAGCTTTGATAGCTGAAGCCACAAAACCAGAAGACTGTATTTAGTTTAATAAGCCAATTTAAAGAGAAAGGTTGGAATTATGTATGGCAGAGGACAATTATGCAAACTAAATGATTTTTCAATTAATAATGAGATCCATGAAAGGCAAAGGAGAAAGGACCCTCCTCTCAGGAGGAGAAGGCTCGTGGCTCCCTGTGCACACCAGGGTGTGCAAGGGTTGGGATGTGGAGGGTCAAGGCAGGGGCAGCTCCCAGCCAAAACCTGAGGGGCTCTGCTGATGGTGGGAAGTCCACAATGGGAATTTTGCTTTCCTAAACAGGTTCTCCTCTGATGGTGTCCATCTCACAGAGCTCTCTTAGGAAGCAGCAAGTGGACCTGGGCCGTGTGAGCACCTGCCAGGATGTACACTGTGAGTACAGTGCTGGAGGTGTGGTAATCCCAACCCAATTCCCTTCCTCCTCACCCTCTGGAAAACAGGCCGGAGACACACAAGCCTAACTCCAGAGCCACCAGTTTGGCTTTTTCATGCAGCTTTTATCCTTCTTTTAAATCCCTGACTGTTGTGTGCCTTGTGCCAGAGCAACAAGCCATATGTTAAAGATGGTAAAGAGCAAATACTTCGCAGCCAGTACCAGCATGTGGAGTCAGGGGGAAGCAGGAATGACGCTGGGAGAAGGGGGAAGGAGTGATTATCTGGTAGTGATTATTCGGGAGGGCAGTAGTGGGAGGTGCTGTAAGTGACAGGGATTCACTACAGGACGCAAATCACTTAAGGCAAAGCCATTAGGATCAATTTAAAATACCAAAGAGGGAGGCTAAAGTGACAATAGCATATTTTAATTGAAATCACAAATATCAGTCTGCAAGATATGGTTTAAAAGACCGGGCAGAGTTACTTTATCTGAACAGAGGAAAAAGTTTTCCCTTTTTTATTAAAAAAAAATGCAGAGATCCAAATGGAACTATGTTTTTTTTAAAAAAATTTAAATCCCATTTATATTTTTTTCCTATTTTAATATTCTCTTTTCTCTTGATGGCCATGTTATAAATGGAATTAACTACATTACTAATGCTTTTAATTTGATTTTAATAGAGCCTAGGGCTGAAGCATGGAATCAGCGTGTGTCCCATTAAAGGAAAAATACAGTTACAGGGACAATAAATAGCATGTCCAGATAAACACATTTATGCCTTAGTTTCATTTATTGAGCTAAGTAGCCCATGTACAGAGACTGGGGTTTTTTTCAGACACTTTTCCAAAGCTGAAGTCCATATGATGAGATTGTTACTGGTTTTGGCAGCAACAAAGTGAACTTGGTAAAAGAGCCTGGCATGGAAATCCACCGAGTTCTGACATATTCCATTTGCTCCAAACTCTTTGATTTCTGCTCACAGAATCTGACATGTGTTGGGCACTGACCTTGCTCTTTTAAATAAGCTTATTTTAGAGGACCTTTGCAGAACACTGTGTGTTTGGCCTCGATGTAAGCTGTTAGGGAAATGTAGTACAAACACAGAAGTTGTATGTTTTGAATGCCAGAGATGTTGAGCTGCAGAGCAGTCAGTAAAAGCCGTACTTCTGACTCCTTTCTGTGCTCTTAACAAGTGTCCTTAAAGAAAAGAAAAAATTATTTATCCTGCATTTGTGTGAAGGTTTCTTTGTTTATTTATTTTTAGCACGAAGTTCAGGACCAGACTTCTTTTTCAGCCTGAAATATTCCTGTTGGGCTCTCAGACACTCAGTGGAGTGAAAGCAAACATTTTGAAAAGTAACTGATTGTCCCAGGCCAGAAATCCCAGAGGGTCAGTCTCAGATTCACCCCTCATAAATGTCTCTGACTAGAGGCACTGGGATACAGGAGGGAGTTCCCCAAAACTTGGCCTTTCCTTTATGGAACAACCCACTTCACTCAGTGTGTTCCAAGAAGAGCCACAACCTTCAGTGTGGAGCTTTGATTTCCATTTGTCACAGGGGAGCAGCTGGTATGAAAGTTCACAGTCAAAGTGCTGCAATCTTGCAAATGCCAGCTTGCAGCACTGTGCAGGGAAACAAATCACTGGGCCCCAACATGGCAACAACTCTAATGAGAGAGGGATTGAAATACGTAGAAAAAAATTCCCTGCATTCAGCCTCTACCTGCTCAAGTCACTAAAAACTCCTGTCAACAGCAAAAGCAGAAAGAAACTTGGAAACACACTTGAGATGTTGATGTGGCAGACACACTCCTGCACCCTTTACTTGGGCTTTGAGGTTTGGAGCCTGGAAATTTAATCAGCTGGAGAATGTGTCCCTGGAAAGGGTCGTTGAGTTTAGCCATATCTGAGTAAGTGGCAGTAATATTCTACACATAGGAAAACAGGGATCGAATGGCAAAAATAAATGTGAATTTGAATTTGTGGTCGTGTGTAGCTCTTCAGGACAAAAGCTGGCTCCATGAGCAGCAAGGAGAGGGAGCAGGGCTGTGCCAGAACATTAATAACCCTCTTCCTTGGCCCATGGACAGCTCTGCACACTGGATTCCTCTCAGAGAGCTTGGCTCAGTTGGCTTCCCAAGCACACAGGAAGGGCATGAAGACCTGTCTCTGTTGACACTGGGTTAAGAGGCTGTGAGGGTTTGACGTGGAACATTTCCTTGGCTAAAGGAGTCAGGAGTGAATTTTTTTACCTCTCTCTGCAAACCCCTCTCCCTGATTCAGCGGCAGTGAAGGGAAACCCTCCTGTTGCCATGAATAATTCATCTCCAGCACATACACGGGGTTCAGAGCTTGACCCAGACAGTTTTTTAGGGAAACAAGTGAGCATCATGCCATCATTGCCAGTGCTGGTGGCTGCTCCATGTAGGATGAGCTGGAGCTGTGCCATCAGTCAGCGGGAGGGACGGCAGAGCTGCTGCCCCTCCTGCAAAGGGGGTCTGCCTGAAATTCCCTTAACCGTCACTCACAGCCTTGTTTTTTCAGGGAAATGGCTTTTATTTGTTGTGGATTCTTCATACGGAACAAAAACTAAATAATGTTACATATTCTGGGTTCTGGGTAGATAAAAATTGAAAGGGCTGGGGTGTTTGTGCAAGTGGAATGATAGTGACAAGCACCACATGAGGTCCCCGAAGATGGTGTCAGGGGACTCGATCCCCCACAAAATGATGAAAGACTCTGATGTAATGGTGTTTTGTGAAACAATTCGAACACAAATGCCACTTTCCTTCCCATTAACAACTGGCTGCCATTGTACCAGGATTTTTTATTTTTTTGATATGTATTTTGAGCACACTGAGACCAAAAACTTCCATTGTGATAGTGCTGCAGGAAGGTTGTGGTGCACTAAGAACTGAAATGCAAATCACACTTAGACACAACCTCCTGCTGAGGCCCAAATTTTTATAGATCAGGTTCTGCAGTCCTGATGAAGAATCAGTGATCTGCCTTTTCTGGGATTCACAAATTAGCTGCAGTCTAAGGTATCATTTCCTACGACAGAACTGTAACTTGCCAGATGAAAGTTTGTCACTGAAGACAGTTCCCTGATTTTCCACTAATTTTTCCAGCTGTAGTGCCACTAAGGATCCTTTCCCACACAATGCCAAAATCACAGCTCCCCACTCTGCAACATGCTCTTGCTGAATATAAACATAGTGTATATATTGATCCTCTTCCCCTTGCTTTTTTTTCTCCCCCAGTGTGCAGATGGTAAAACATTGCCTGCCATGAACTTCATGATGCAAAAAAAAAAGAAAGAAGAAAAAGCTGTGGTTTGGAAGCTGCTGGATAGCAAACTGCAGGCTGGGAATGTGGCTGCTGAAACCACTGCAAGGATAACAGGGCATACACAGGTTTGTGGATAATTCTGTTTGCTAATTGCTCATGAAATTTCACGTAAGGAACATCCAATTTGTTATAACAGGTAATATTATAATAGAGTTTTGCTTTCTAGGGTGGCTTTTTTATTATTATTACTGTTATTATTTTTATTGCTGTCATTACAAATACAGGGCTCTCTGTGACTGGAAGAACACTTTACAGAGAGGTTGGGGCAGTGCTGTGAGGCAGCACAGGATGTTTTTAGCCATGGACATGGCAGCAGTAACAGCCATGTCTCCAGGCCCTGCTGTATCCCAGGACAGGACGTGTTCCTGGTTGGGAGAGGACAGGTTCCCCTTCCGAGGCTCCATGCCTGCTCCTGCCATCCTTGAAGCACAGGATCCATGACCAGCCCACATCAGGTACATAGGAAAGTTAAAGGAGGCAGATCCTGCCCTCCTCTTCTAGAAATGGAGTACAAACCCATTTTACAGGGCATCTGAATGACAGCAACGCTCAGTTCTTTTGAGCTGGTACCTTAAACACAAGGAGGGAGCTCTGTTTCTCAGTGCCCTGATCCACTGAGGCCTCCCAGCAACTGTTCTGGTCACCCCTTTCCCTTCCAGCTATTTAGAGGTTCGTGACTCTGCAAAAATGTGCTGAAAATTACCACCAAGCTCAGAGCCGAGTCCCTCCGGTTTGCATCCACTTGCCATCCTGCAACTTTAACTAGTTCTACTACTTACTACTAATTAGCTACCAGCTAATACTAATAGCTACCAGTGCTGCAGCATTTCGGAGTTACACACACATTAATGAGAAGGAGCATTTGTTGACGGCCATGGAGGGAGTTGTCTGTGTGCAGCATTTCAGGGGTCCCCGTTGCTGTAATGTTTGATTGCCTCCTCCGGTAATTACCATTGACACCAAGCACGTTTTTCATAGGTCTCACTTGGCTGTGCAGAGCTGAAAGACATATTGGGCTCTGTGCTGAAGAGAGAAGAGGCCAATAATACTATATTTCCCAGTAACATCCCTTCTTCTCCTCACTCCCCTCACACGGTGCCAAGGGACGGATTCAGCTCTGCTGCCGCGCTTTTCGGTGCTTTGTTGTCCTGCACGAAACTCCCTTTCACTACTTTTTGAATATGTACAGAACAATTTAATCATTTTAACTTAAAGTCAATTGCCTCCTTCATTTGGGAATATGAAGGTAGTTAAAATGCTACAGAAATTTGGCACACCAGCAGTAAGTTAACTCTGGTGGGCCTTTCCGTGCCTATGTAAAAGAGGGTGCATAATGGGAATTAAAGCAGAGGGAATATGGAGAAATACAGGCCCCTTGTAACTCTTGCAGGGAATATGAGCACATGGCTGGCGCTTCTTTAGGAATAGCAATTGCCTGTTTGGAAAAAGAGGTGCTGGGGAATGTCCCTGTCTCCCTGGTCAGCTTCCTGACTGCACTCTGCAGAGAGAGGCACGCGTTGCACATCCAGCCTGGGGCTCTGGCTCAGCCTGGCGCTGCAAAGGGAGCTTTTTCCATGTGCTACTGTGGAAAGGAAGCTGCTCTCACCCTCACCCTGAGGAAGATGAGCTATAGGAATATACAAGGGGCTTTTTTTATAGCTCGGGGGCCAGAAGGGGAAGCAGTGGTCATGAGCAGAGACTGGAAGTTGGCTTGTTAAGTAAATCTCAGGCTGTAGCTGGTTTTAATTTATTTTTTGTTTTATGTGCAGGAGACTAGGCCTTGCAGGCCTGGCTAATATCAAAGCCTGGGAGTTTGTAGATTTTTAATCAAGGTCCACTTTGGGGGGTTCTGCTTTCGGGGCTTGTGGATGTGTAGGATTTTTTTTGTCGTGTTTTTCTTTTTTTTTTTCTTGCTGCAGTGTCTGGATTTCTTTAGTTCAACTTTTCCATTCTTCAGACTTGAGCCAAGTGAGCGATTTCAAATTACCCAGCACTTTCCAGAGAGGCCTTTTTTGTTGTTTGTTTTTTTGGTTTGGGATATTTTTTTTTTTTTAAGCAGACTTGCAGTCCAGTTTCTCTGAAAATCCCAGGTGGTGTCACAGTCCTACCCCATTGCCTCTCACTAATTTGGCATTCTTCACACGGTCTAAATAGTTTATTGTTCATCAAATCTGTAGGAAAGGAATTTTATATCAATTTTTTGTTTGTTTTGTCCCTCTGCTGGCAGGAAAAGTAAATCCCAAAGTATTTCAGCAGGTGCTATTAATATGCAAATAATGGAGAGTACACTAGGTCTAATAGACCTCCCAACTACATGGGAGGTGTCGCTGTTGGAGCAAATTAGCTTTCCGTAATTTGCATGCTTTTCACAGCCTCCTGGGATTATATTTTAGATCAGAGACAATAAAAGCATATGCTGTTAGTTTAAAATGTAACTAATTTTAGACTTTGAAACCATTTTAACCTAACTTCTTAGTGTTAAACTGTTATTTGCAAAGAAACTTTTCACAGAGCTTGTCATTCTCACGGCCTTTCTCTTCCCCCATTAACTGCTCCATCTCTCTTCTCAGTTTGAAGAGAAGAAGGGAATCTTCCAGGTGGTTGTGTCTTGAAAACCAGGTATTTCTCACAAACCCAAGTCCAGATTGTCCTAGTCTCGTTCTGAGTTTGCATTCAGGTTCTGAAGGGGTCTAGATTGAGCTTTTCATATCAAACTTCTTCCCTCCCCTTTGGCATCTCCGTGAGTTGTAAATCCACCCAAAAAGGATGCTGTGGCCCCTGCTGACCACTCACAGAGGGAGGAAGCTCGTAGCATCAAAAAATCCTTTCTAACCCACCAAAGCAGAGTCCCCAAGCTGATGTGGCACAGATGCCCAGTGGACTTGTTGGAAAATTCTGTTTAAAACAAGCAGGAAGAATAAGCAGGGATTCCAGTGCAGGTTCAGTCTGTAGAGTCATTACTGAACTGTACTGGCACATTATTGATGGCACTTTCCACATTGATCTTGACAGCAAAAATCACGCTGCTGACACCTGTGTTTTGGGACAGCTTGGATGACGGGACACCAGCTCTCGTGCCTGAGGCCTTGTGTCTGTATTTCAGGTGCTGCTGTGCTGCTTCCTGCCCAACCGTGCTGCACTACTCCAAGGGACTGGCCAGGTGGGTGCATACAGGAACTCTGCCTCTCATCCCCCATCCTGCTTCTGCTCCTCTGCCCCTGGGTATTTGTTGAGCTGGTGGGAGATGGTTCTCCCGGCTCCTGACTGCCCCAACTCCTCCTGCTTGGAAGGGCTGCAGCGAGAGGCCTGTGAGAGGAGCAGCAGGTTTAGGTGGTGCAGAGCTGCCTCAGCACAGACCGCAGTGGTGTCGGGCGAGGGAGCCTGAGGGAGGTGGAGAGGCAGCCCTTGTGTTCTGTCTCTCTGCCAGTTGTCCCAGTGCCCAGAGGGTGTGATTTGTGAGCGTCCTTTGGCACAGCTGCTCCACTGCCCATATATCTCTGTGCAGGGTTTCCAGGTCAGTTGGTCCGTGGGGTGGTGGCCGTCTTTTATTTCAAGAGGGACAGAGTTCAGGGGTAGGATCAGATGTGTGGAGGGGATGGCAGCCAGATGGAGATCAAGTCAGCATTGTCAAATTTATTTCTGGCATGGGAAAGGTGAGTGTTAGCAAGAAAGAGTAAGTCTGAGAGATGTCCTTTGAAATAAAACTGGGAAAAAAAAATCTCTTGGGATGCAACTTTGGCCATACAGCAGTGTGTATTGCCACAACTTTGCCATCAATGTTTTCATAAATGTATTTCACACTGACAATATATGGAAATACCTCATGAGTGCTGAGTGCTCTTTAAATGCCCTCCTACCACTCCAAGCTGGATTTGCTCTGGCTTGTGCCACATGTGCCATCCCTGGTGCCCCACAGGTCTTTGTGCCAGGGTGCCACTATTGCACACACCTGAAGGAGGTTAAGTTTTAAAAATAACCATTCCTGAGGCTGTAAACCAATGTGAAGGCAACAAAGTGCTGGAGATAACTTGTGATAGTCTCTTTGAAAATGCTGGGTGCTTTTTCCCCCCCTCTCATCTCACCCTAAATGTTTGCTAGCATTAATACCAGTGACCTCTCACTTCTGCTGCTTTTCATTAATGGGATGTGGTTTGCCTAATATAACCCTGGGCACTGGCACTGGAAACATCAGCTTTATTTAAAAATAAAAACAAAAAAGAGAGAAAAAAAGGGCTCTGATTACTCAGGTGTCGATAGAAAAAAACTGAGATGTTGTGCCAGATGGCTGCATTTGTGAAGCAGAGTGTAGTCAGAAGGAAAGTGGAAGGAGACAAGGCAACTGTACATCACAAGTGTGAAAACATGACCAAAATACCTTCAGCCTTGTTTCACCAACACTGGATTAGGAGGCAACTGTGGTGAGATGCAAGCAAAGAAAAGCAGGAGGGGACACTGTTTGGAAAACAAAAATGCCTTTCAATAATGAACTGCTTTACTTTCTCCAGCAAAAGCTTAAAAGTTTACAAAAATCAAGAGTTTTTGCATTAAATGGAAGGACTGTGGACCAGTAGAGCACTGTGCCTGGTGTCAGTGCAAAGCACCACATGCAGTACAGTAAAAGGTTGCTCGCAGGCTGTGTCATGGGCTCAGTTTGCATTAGAGCAGGATGTGCTGCTGCCAATCACCAGTAAGTAACCACTGTCCCCAGTGACTGTGACAGTCCCCAGCTCCGTGCCATGGCTGCAGATGTTCAGGAAGGGTTTTCCAGTAACACGTGGGAGGTGCTGGATCTCACCTCAGGCACGTTCATGGCGTGTGCTCATTGCTTTGCCTGTGCCCACACAAGTGGTACCCAGCAGCCCTTGGTTGCGGTCCGGGGTAGTGTCAGCTCACAAAAGTGGGGGCTTTTAGTAACACCACGGGCTGGTTTGTGCCTCAGGCTGTTTGGACATGTTGCTCACCTCATTGAGAAGCTTTAATCAACTTTTGATGCCAGGGCAAAGTATGTGCCGAGACCGTAAAAGCCTTGGCAGGACCATGGGTGAGTCCTTCATTACCCTTTTATATCCTGAAATGGATCCTGGGTACTTTGAGCTTTGCTTCCATGCTGAAGCTTTTGGCTGTCACACAGGGAAAAGTTTAGAATAATTTGATCTGAGATCAGAAATCCAAATTTTATTTTTTTTTCCATGCTTAAGCTGGCTCTGCCCAGACTGTTTTGGAGCTCCACACTCTCTTCTCCTCTGTGGTCTCTCAGGGGAAAAGGAGAGCTCTGACATGGGCTGAGGGTCACTCTGAAGGCTTGGCCTCTTGTAACTTGGCCTTGGCTTTGGCCTTGGTTGTATCTTGGTTTATAAACTTGGGTTTCATCAAGGGAGTCTGAAATCCTGGTGTTCTTAGATTGCAGTTTGATTAGAACATCGCAAGGAAAATCTGTGATAATTTTTACCAAAAACATTCCCACGTGGCTTTCTCACCCCCAGCCTCCAAAACTACTTCAACTTTCACAGGTATTTTCTAGCAATGAACTTTATCCAAATGTGTTGAATGGTAGGTTACTAACAACAGGTACAGAGAATGTGGCAGGAACATGTCTCTTCCTCTGATTCCTGCTCTGTTGCTACTAAACCTTGAATGCAAAAGTTTCATTCTTTTATTTTTATAAAATCTGAATTTCTGTAATAACTTTGGATCAAAAGTTTAGTCTCCATGCCAGGAAGATGTTGGGTTTTTTTATTTGCTACAAACTACATTGTCTTATTTGGGGAGTATGTTCACAATTGAGAAAGAATTGCCTTTATTAACAAATCAAAAGCTTGTGCTGTCAAAACTGAAATCATTCTACCTTTTTATGTGCAAATTAGAGCTTCTGTCAAACCTTCAGCCATGGTGCATTTAATTTGTGGAAATATAAAAATATCTGGCTTAATATTAAAATATTCTGCAAGAGGAAGGAAATACTTTACGTGATGCATTGCAGTCAAGATTCTCAAAAAATCAGATGTGAAAGAAATAAAGTGGTGTTTTAACAATTTATTTTCCCTACTTTTGCCAAAGTTCAGAGCAGTACTTAAAAGTGTATTTAAGTTATACAGGTGTTTGAGTATCTGGTTGGATCGTGGCCTTTGGGAGTGAACCAAGTTAAATGTAAGTGTGTCCAGGGCAGCAGAGCTACATCCGCTCTGTTTTTCCTTAGAAAAGGGTCACAAGATATATTTTTTTATTTTTAATTAATGGCAAAGGTACTGAGAAACTTTTGAGTCTGGATTCACTAAAGTTAGGCTAAAACATAAAAAGCAACCCCTGGTTTCACGGTGATCATTTGTGTTTTGGAAGGTCTTTGTAGAGAGGATAAAATTCTGATTATCTGAAGTTGGGCACTGGTTCTGTATTTAGGATTCCAAAATAAAGAGCTGCCTGTTTTCCCAGCAGTGCCCGGATGCTCCACCGTTTGGGACAGCCAGCATGGTGGGCCTGGTTGTCCTACTGCTGGCCTGGTTTTGTTAGGAGAACAAGGAAAACCGTGGTCTCCAACTCCAGTGCTGCAAACCACCTGCAGAACCCCCTTTTCAGTGTCTTCAGCTGTGTTTGGCTCGTGGGTTTTTTCTAGCATCCCTGCAGGCTACTTGATGTTTAACTCCCAGCTCTCCTTCTGTGACCTGGGAGCCTTTTCCATGGCTCTGTGGGAGGAGGGGTCCTGTCCAGGCAGGCTGTGTTTGCCCATCGGTTTTTCCCAATCAGATATTCAAATATCCCGGCCTGTCTTTGGGGAGGTTTTAACGGTGCCAAGTCCATTTTACCTCATTATTTCCAAGGCCTGAACCAGGGACATTTGCCCTTCTGCAGAGCTGAGAGGGGAGTAAGTGGCTGTTTCTTGAGGAGCAGACTCATTCCCTGAAGTGGCCCGTTCCTGAGGCTGGGGCAGTGCATGCAATTATCCTCTGGAAAAGGCCTCCGGAGCAGTGCATTAGTATGCATGTGTCTAGGCTGGGATGTGCCCGGGAAATCACAGCCCAGGTGTTGTGTTTCCAGCCACCTGGCCCACTCCAGCACTCACATGGAAGAGCCCTTCCACCCACACCACAATAGTTGTGACCACCCACTTCTCCTGTGCAGAGGGTACGAAAAGTATTTTATGAATTTTATCAACTGTCAGAAGTTCCTTTTGGGTGGTAAATGATTGTCTCCAGGCATCCAGAGCACTCAGTCCTCTACTACTTTTATGCCAATGTTGTTAGCAATGCATAATTCCACCATCCTGGGGTTTAATTTGTCTAATTCTTCTGGGTCATCTCTGTAAGGGAGTTTCCACAGGCTGGATGTGCAGTGCATTAAATGTGAAGGTGTTTATTAGCCCATTAGCCATAATTAATGGCAAGGCAGCTACCGAGGCCATGGGTTGTCCCAGGTTTTGCCCACATTCTCTTTTCATATCCACTCCCCAGCATGAATTTATATGATGTTCATATTGTGCCTCTCACCATTAGAAACCAACAAAGTGGTTTGGGTTGGGATCTCCTATTTCAGGCCATAAACATATGATCCAGCCACCCCATAAAGTACATTCCTCCAGCTTTCCGTGAATTCTCAAGTACACCTATGGCACGCAGGGGAGCTTGGGTCTGGTCCCTCCAGCCAGAGAAAATCCAGCCCAGCAAAGCTGTGAGGCACACTGGGAATTGCTCAAGTGCTGAAGCTTCACCCAAATCAGTAAGCTGTGCCTTCGTACTGCAGGCACGTTTCCCATGGTTTCTGCCAGGAGCCTCTAAAACTCTGGATGCTGTGCTGTCCCCATGACCTGCTTCCATGCAAGGATTCAGGGAAAAAGGTCTCCAGACTCCATGGTTTGCAGCCAGAGGGCTGGTGGGAGGCTCAGTCATGGAGGGGAGGGCACTGGTAAGCCAGGCACCCCCCTGACAACTTTTCCCCTGCCAGGAATGCTGCAGCCTCGTGCACTTGATCCTTTAATTGGCCCATGTGCACACTGGACAGCTCTCTCTTTATTATTGTTATTATTATGCAATCAGACACTACTTACTTACAGAATGTGCTGGAGATGCACTATTTATACAGAAACTATGTACACTGAAACCCATTTTCTCCATGGTGATTGCAGATAATGTGGAAAGCTCTGCTTTGATTCATTAGTATAGCAAAAGAGATATTCAGGATTATTTGGTATAATTCACAGCACTTCAAAATGCATATATTTTCATAATACTCTAAATCTACCTCTTGGGCTGGTAACTCAAGCAGATGACAACTGGTTTGCCATAGTGCTGTCATCTTAAAATTGTAGTGGTGCCATTTTTTCACTGAAACCTGGAAGCTTGTTTAGCACAGGATGTCTGAGGAAAGCCCTAGAGAATCCCCCCAGAGTGAAGGGCTTGGGAAACTGCCAGACTGAGAACTTGTCTTCACAGAATCATAGAATAGCTTGGGTTGGAAGGAGACCTTGAAGAACATCTAGTTCCAACCCCTCAAAAAGGTACAACTCCAAAGTGATGCTTGGAAAAAAATAAAAATTTTTAAGTAATTTTGTTTCTTGAGTTAAAAAAAATAACCAAGGAGTTAATTTTAATGAGTTCATTTTCATTAGGAGAAGAGTATCTTTTAATACTTTTTTTCAAAATTTTGTGCCACTTTTGGCAAGGTGAGTAAGCAAACTCTTCAGATTAGCAATGAATCACTGGTACCTCCCCTCCCATTTCACATCCATTCCTTTCTTACCTTATCAGGACCATCCTTCTGGCTGCACTGACCTGGGCATGGCTTCATTTAAGCTGGATGAGCCTCCAGAGACTTGGCACTTACATTCACACAAACAAACCTCTGGCTTTAAGCACAGCTTTAAAGACAGAGTCTCAAAACTTTCTGGCCAATGGTAACCTTTGGCAAATCCTTATAATTTCTAAGTGTGAGTACAGGTTAATTTTTTAACCAATGCAGATGGCACTTTCTGACAGCCATTTACAGTTTTTGCACCCAACCATCACAATAGACCTCACCACCCTCACAGCAAGGCTTGTCCAAGGCACCCTTGGAGACAAGATTTAAAATATCACTACTTAAGTGATTCAACTTTGTCTTACACTCCTGTGACCATCAAGTGGGGTTTTTTTATCTTTTTTCCTTCCCCCCTTCACCTCTCTCTGACTTTACTGGGCACTCCAGTGTATTTGCACACCTCTGGAAATCAGTTGCATAATCTACATGTAACTTTGGTTGCTTGGTGACCAGGGCTTTCCTTTTAGTATCACAGATTAAAATGTTCCAATTGTCATCTGAAAATCTTCCTTTAGCCCCACTGAGTCTCCTTGGCCCATACCTGGCAAATGGAAATGTGGTCAGGCAGCCTTTTCCCTCAGTTCCCACCTTCTCCCAGCTCTGAATCTGAGGTTGCACATGTACCTGATTTACCCAACTCAGTTCCCTCTAATCAGTTATATGTATTTTAAATAATTGTCTGAAAAAATATGCACAGAAATTATGAGGCTCATTTAACAATGAGAAGCTGCTTTCATTGCAGATATTCTCCCATGTGTACATTTGCTTCTCTGTCTTAACACCTGAAATGTTTGGGAAAAAATTTAAATGTGGCCAATGACCGCATTTAATGCGGGAGATTTTGCACCTCTGGGCTCTGTATTTATAGCTCTGTCATGTTCCTTTCTTGTACTGACCTGAAGAAGAGGATTTTTTTTCTTATCTCATGAAAAGGTTGTCTGTCATGGTGTGGTTATTGCAGCACAAAATACTGCCTAAAACTTGACCCTGAACAAATTTTGTACAAGGACAGTTTACCCCAGAATTCCAAAGGAGATGAAATCCTCCTCATGCAAGCCAAGGAAGCAAGCTGCTTTGGGTATATAAAACTGGGATGAGTCTAAAAATCCTTCATGGAGCCTCAATTGAAATGCACTCTGTCTCTGATCCCAGCTGAAGCCATTTTACTCCTAGTGTTACTCCACTGAACTTGGAGTTTAACATGGATTAGCATGGATTTTCACTGATGTGTGATTCAGAAATTTCAAAATTACATGTATTAATCATTGTGTGGCTTGAAAAAAATTAAAGGTACTTTAGCCTTATGAAATGATGCTGTTGTAAAACCTTACCCATGACCTTGGCATTGAAAGAGGGGGTTTGTACTGATATCCGTGGGCATCACAGAGGGTTTTCCACTTGTATCCCATTACCTGATGCTCATTCTTCCTGAAAGGAAGGGGAAAGCACAATACAGTCAGGGCTTTTAAATGGTATCAGTTCTTTAATTTAAGAAGCCAATAAGTACAAGAAGTAAATAAACATTTACAGTGCTCTTTTCACCAGTGCTGATCCCAGCATGGTCTGTACCCGCCCTGGTTGTCTTCCCAAAAGTTTGACTGCCTTCCTCTTTTCTATCTGGCCTGGACTCTTACTGTCCTTAATATAATTTGTGTTCAAAGACTTTTGCCAACCAAAACAAGGAATAATTTCTTTACAAATTAGTACCTTCATAAATATCACATCCCTTTCACATGGTCTGTGAACAGACTACGATTTTTAATTTTTTTTTTTCTATTGGATATTGTTTATTCCCAAAATAATTTGTGGAGGGAGGATAATTTTTCCTGCCTCTGTAGCAAATTCAAAGGTAAAACATGGTGTTTGTGCAGTAGACAAAAGGTGCTGTGCACACAGACTGGTTACGTGGGGCTGTTTCTTTTCTGTGATTGAATGGATATGACTTAGGGAAGTTTCTTCATTTAAGAAAAATGACATTTTAGTTATCTGTGTTATTCATTCAGAATTTCTTTCTGCAAATATTTTAAGTGGTCTGGTTCACTCACTGTTAGAATGGCTGGAGATAGTGACTGCAACCCGTGGTCCCCTTAAGTGCACAGGAAATATTTCATAGGGCAGTGCAGGATTTTATTTTTATCAAAACCACAATTTTAATTAAGGACCTAATTACAAAATATTTACTCATTCTGCTAAATGTTCATGGGTCCTTTAGGAGCTTACCTGAGTTACTCTTCACCGTTGTAAACAGGAACCTTCACTATGGTAACTTTTGAAGAGCTGTAGTAAAAAAAATGAACTTTAAAATTAAAGTTGAGTGCATGAGGCAGCACTACACCCCTGGCCAAATGAGAGGGCTGCAGACCAGCCCCGGTGGTTTGTTTTTCAGTGAGACACAAAGCCAAGAGAGGTCTGTTTTCAAATGCTAATGAAGCCCAAGGTGACAGAAATTTGGCAGAGCCTGATCCCAGCAGTTACTGGCCAGGGCATTACTTTTAAACATCACTGAATACAAACCTACAGCCTAGGCTGGTCCTAAAACTTCATCTGAAATTAATCCAGTGCCAAATGCCATCTCCTTAGCCCAGGTTTTTTGGCAAAGTGTTTTTCAGAGTAAGCAATACATATTTTTTTTAATTTAAAAGTCCAGTGTCCAGACCCTGGATTGTTTGCTTCCTTTCCAGAAATATATTGGAGATGCTAAAAGTCTCCAAAACATGCCCAGTGAGCTTCCAAGCTGAACCAGCAGTACAGGGTACATTCACATAGGGTAGATGCATTTTAGAGCATGTGTGCTGTGCATCCTCACTACTGTCTTCAAACTTCCGCAATGCTTCAGGAAAAAGAGGGAAAAAATCACAGAAAAATATAAAGGAAAGGCTTTCTTTGGCTCATTTACCCAGTTGACCTTGTATTAACTTTCCAACAACAGGATTTACATAATTTATTTATTTTAATGCCAAACATAAGTTTCCTCTGCATCCTGAGACTATCATCATGTTAGCTGATCCAACAGAAAGGTGATGCAAAATAATGCCAAGTGTATGTTCATACCAGGCCATGAGGAGGCAAAAGGAAAAGTCAATTTGAGTATTACCTTGTCAGCAAAAAAGTAACATTTTTTGAAGTATTTTTAAAGTTCAGCTCTTGTGTTCCATCCTCAACCCCCTGAGGTGTCAGTGCAACAGATGCCCACATCTAAGTCAGTGGGGTTGCTCTGAATCCCAGCTTGGGGATGCTCTGCCCGGCTCTGCCAGCTTGGCTTTGTCCCAGTGATGCCACCCCGCTGTACTGGGCATGGGAAGATGTGCCCACAAAAACTCCTCCAAAGTAAAACCAAACAGCAAATACCAACCTCTGCCTCTGCCAGACAAGTGGTTTTCCTTCAGGTAAAGAACGGTTGTTCTTTGCCACTTCTTTCTGAACAGGAATTCAGCTGAATGGACAGAAAATGTTTGAAATATGAAATTTTCAGGTGATGGGGAGAGAAATTTTCAGTTCCTTAAAGTTACTGTGAAATCAACAAATAAATAATCACGGGGTGTGGTATTCAGTTATCTCCCTTTCATTTTTTTCCCCCAGAAAGCAGTTTCCAGATGGATTTTCCCCAAGATGTTAATATTGTGCTGGTTTCAATGCTGATTGAAGCAAGGTAGCAAGTGGTTATCACAGGCCTGACATGCCTGTTCTGCCAAGAAACAGCGTGAGCTTTCAGCTCAGAAAACAAGGTGAACTTTGTTGTTTCATCAATCTGCTTTTGCCTGCCTTGGCCAGGTATGTGTGTTCATGCTCACAATGGGGATGACTTAATTTATGATCAGTTTATTTGGACTTTTCTTAGTTAAGGCCTGATTAGTAAGGGTGGAAACAGCATTCAACCCAAAGGTCTTAATTTTTTTCTCTGGAAAACAAGTTCTTTTGAAAAACAAGTCTGCTGGCACTGTCACCACCAAGTCTTTCCTTTTCCCTTTGAGTGCCAAACTGGTCACTGCCTCACTAAGCCATTAACTGGGAGTCATGGACTCCCTACCTGAGGATCTACTGCTGGAATAGCAAAGGTTTGGGGCCATCTTGAGACATTCTTGGGGTTGTAAAGTTGGTCATATGACTCTTGCCTCCTTGTCCTGGCTTAAAACCCAACAGAGAGGGAAGTAATTCTTTTACTTACAGTCCTCTCTATGCCATTGGCCTTTGTTTTCTCTGCTTCTCAGCGTGCCTTTGCAAAGGAGAATCAGTCTTTAGTTGTTCTCTTGAATATGAATTCCTGTTCCACCTCCTTCACTACCCAGATCTAGTCCATCAGATAAGAGACAGGAATACAGGTCCATGTCAGTGTAATGTGACACAGTGCCACCATTTAAACCCCATTTTCAATGCTGCTTCTAAGTTAATTCAGGGGGATTTTGCCTAATAATATGTCAATTAAAGCATTACTCAGAAAGGTGTGTGCAGCACTTAAAAATACACCTTTAATGCTCAGGGTCCAAACATTTCTATATTCTTTTTCAAATGCCTCATTAGTCTCATTTTTACTTAGTTTTCTTTCTTTAAGCCCAGTGCTGCTGTTAGGATGTGTGTGCTTGTATTTGTGTGCATGAGTAGGCCCGTGATTATTTCTACTGCTGAAACAGGCAATATAGCTACTGTTTTCTGAGCTGAATTACTATTTTGGCAAAGCGTGGATATCTGGGGATATGAAAACTGCTCCGCCACCTTAAGGGAAAAAATTCCATAGGTTTTTGATTCCATATTTTCCTGTTTTCCACTCCTCAGTTACAGGCTTGTGTTGAATACTGTCTTCCAGTGTTAGAACTTCTGAAGAGCAAACCTCAGAAATCGGTAGAAAGCTCAGTCTCCAGGCAGGACTGTCTGCTAATAAGGGAATAAATACAGAATAACACAAACAAATAAATATTAACTAATACCAAAGTACACCTACACTTGCGAATTGCTTCCTCTTTTCAGATTCTTGCCAGTTAAGCAGCACAGCAGCATCAGCTTTCCTCACATATTGTAGCCTGAGAAAACAGCTTTAAAGGGCCAAAAGAAGCAAATAAAATGTATTTGTTATTCCTGCTGACCTTAGGCAGGCAGTATGTGGAGCTGCGGGAATCATACACGGAATCTCTGATTATAAGTATGGTGATAACTGGTAAGACTGTGCTGAACTACTGTGAAACAATTCAGGTAGTCAGCAAACAGGGCTAATTGCTAGTTTGGGGGATATTATGGGTAATTTACTGCCCACTGAGGGCTTCTACCTAAAAATAAGCTTTTTTCTTTTTTTTTTTCCCTTTGGACAGCACTTGCATGTTAATGTAGAATTCTTGATGCAATTACATGTGAAGAGGACATTCAGATGCACTTCCATAAATGCCCTTCTGCTTCTCAATTACATTAACTGTCTTTGTAGATCCTTTGACAGAAACCATATTCTTCACCTTTTTTTCTAACTAGCAAACAGGCACTAAGCTAGACTTTGCTGTTATCCAAGATGTCCCGATCAAAGGGCTGAGAGTAATACAATAAACACAAGAAAAGAAACTACTGGTGGTTTCCAATGCAAACGAACGGGAAAGTGTCAAGTGAGCAGCTACTGACAATTCCAGCCCTGAAACCAAATGTTCGTGTGCGAAACTCCACCTCTGAGAAGGAAGAATAAATACCCACAGAGTGTTTTGGCTATAATTACTTCATTTAAGGGGAGGAGGGGGGGGAAAAAGTGCTGAATTCAGTTTGCTGAAGTCAGGATATTAATATTTTTGGCATGTAAAGATGCAAACCAAATGTTTAAATGAAATGTCATCCCCTGGGTTCGCGTTTGCCCATTGAACTACGGTACAAACCCTCTGCAGACCTTCATACAATACACATTTTTCAGTTCATTGAAGAAGGCCCCTGCTGCTTCTCAAGGAAAACTAACTTGCAGAAGCAAAATAAATAGTGGTGTGGCAGCGCGGCAGCGGAGCCTCGGAGCACAGATGTGCAGCACTGTCGGCCGCCCCATCAGATAAGGAGCATTCAGACATAATCACCCCAGTGTCTGGGACACGTCGCACGCGGCAGAGCTGCCCAAGTATGGCCTGACAGACACATGCAGGGTGTGCTCGGGGTAAATGGCAACAAGCTGACAGTATTTCATAACAGTCCTGTTATGTCTATAGGCAAGTGTTTGTGTAATTTAGCTTGGGCTTTGAAATAGGTTCAGGACTCGGGACACAAATGGAGCTTTGTGATGAGTTGTGGGTGATGTTGTACCTGCTGGATGAGGATATTGGCCCAAGGAAGGGGCAGCCTTGGGGTGTCACACTGGGAAGCCTCTGTCGGTGCCGTCATCTGCCCATCCAACCAGCAGGGCTGCTCCTGGAAAAATATGTATATATTTTTAGATATATATACATGAGAAGGCCACCATGATGACAAGAGGGGTGGAGCACCTCTCCTACAAGGACAGGCTGAGAGAACTGGGATTGTGCCGCCTGGAAAAGAGAAGGCTTTAGGGTGACCTAACTGTGGCCTCCCAGTAACTGAAGGGAGCCCACAAGAGACATGGAGAGAGATTATTTGCAAGGACCTGGAGGGACAGGACAAGGGGGAATGGCTTCAAACAGAGAGAGTAGGGTTAGATTATATAGGAGGAAAAAAATCTTTACAGTGAAGATGGCGAGGAACTGGCACAGGTTTCCCAGAGAACCTGTGGCTGCCCCATCCCTGGAAGTGTCCAAGGTCAGTTTGGACAGTGCTTGGAACAACCTGGGCTAGTGGGAGGTGTCCCTGCCCATGGCAGGGGGTGGAACTGGATGAGCTTTAAGGTCCCTTCCAACCCAGGCCATTCTATGATTCTATGATATATATATATGTGTGTATATATACATATATAGATATGTATATACATCTATCTATATATACACATGTATATACACATGTACATATCTGTGTATGTGTGTATATGTATAGATATAAATACCTATCTATAAATGTAGAAAATATAGTTATATATAATAATTTTATATATTTTATATATATTTATATACATGCATTTTATACATATACATATATGTGTATATATATAAGCATAAAAATAGATATTTATAAATATATAAAATAAATATGTATGTGTGTGTATATATATATGTGACCACATGTTTAGCTGTGGGCCCTGCTGCACTGTGGCATGCAAAGGGTTACTGATATCTGCTTTTAGGCAAGACACCTCTAAAAAAAGCTAAGAAAGTACATTTAACCCTACAGAAATACAGCTCACTGGGCCTGTGGTAGTTCCTATTAAGATATACAAAGTATCTCAGCAAGGGAAAATTTAACTTACATACAACACATGATTTTAAGTAAAGAAATATTGATGGGGCGGGGGGAACAAGTATTTTTTTAGCTCTAATTTATGGCTGAGCAGCTTCATTTTAGTTACTTCATGGGAATATTTTAAACCAAGCCTGCATAATATTAAAATAAGTTAAAATGTATGTAAAATTTATGAGAGCATGTCAGGTGCAATGCTTGATAAAGTAAGTTTAATGCTTCAGAATTTTTTTCTTCAGGCAGAGAAAGCTGAATCCTGCAATTCTAGGTTACAGTATAATTTTAGAAACTCTTTTCCATTATACCATTCTTTTATTAATGAGATCCAACCCAATTTAACAAAAAGAGGTAAATTCCTAAAGAGTTTGTGGAAAGTCCACAGCAGGTTGGAGTGTGTGACAAAAGAGGGTATTCTCCTACTGTTCATAGGATCTATCCCATTTTATAAAAACACAGAGGAAATCAATTTACAGCAAACTTTCCAAGTGTGCCTCTCCAGTGCGGTTTTCCTTCTGGAAATGCTGCCTCACTCTGTGAACAAACAAAAGCTTTGGCAGTTGACAGGGGCTGTACATCACTTTGAAAACTCTTCATTTACCAGGGGTGTGTCATGTTGCTTCATTGTGTGACACTCCCAATTATCGTGACAGAGCTAAATGACAAAGTACTGTCACCCCACTGGAAATTCCGAGCAGCTTCTTCCCATTTTTCCGCCTGGTCATGGGAACATCACTGAGCCGGTACAAAGGAGCGGCAGGAGCCGCAAACAGGGGCTGGAATGGCTGCATTCTGCTCTGCTGTATTAAAAATTCAGCTCCTTGGCAATATTAAATCTGAATTTACTTCCATCAAACAGAAACTTAGCATATCTCATTCTTCCATTATAAAATATTGACATCGGGAATAGTGAATCCTGAAATGAAGATTACAGATGAAAACTATGCGCTTGGTAATTATCATTTTTTTTTCTTTGTTATTATTCCTTTCCTCTGAGGATTGCACAGGCTGTTGCAAACAGTAATGAAGTTAGCATGCAGTGCCAATGCAAAGTGTGCTGCAAAGTTAGTCCTTCCCTCATTATGGATGAGGGAGGCGAGGCAGCGGGAGGAGGGTGATTTCCCCAGCCAAACTCGCACACGAGCGGGGTAGCCCTTCGCCTCATGTCTTAATCACCATCCCTGGTGATGAGACCCTCAGTGCCATCTTGTTTCTGTCTTCTTTTGTTCTGCTGTTTCCCTGGGTTTTTTTAGGTCTTTTCTGGGGCTCAGAGCTATTAATATCAATGACATTTTTTTTTGACACAAACTAAACAGCCAGTTCACAAATCCTTTCACTCCCGACAAATCCACTGCCCTGTCTTGTCATGTTCTCGAATAACCACAGCACTGGAAAATACAGTTACAGGCGTGGAAATATCCAAGCAATCATTCCCAACAGCCACAGTATGAGGAGATCAACACATTGGGCAACCTGCACTAGAATAACCCTTTGGTTCCTGCCTGTGGAGATACCGCATGGCTTGGGATGGCTTCCCAACAGAAGAGCTGTGTCATCACCCTTCTGAAATTCAAACTTGGCCAATTAACTGGTGTCTCTCTCCAAGGTGATCACTCAGAGAGGTCCCACACAGCATGGTTTGCAGGTGCTCACTGAGCACCTCCACATACTCCTGAAGCCTCCTGGATGTGCCCAAGGAGTGTGATATACACAGCGTGTGACACCGGACACCGCGTCCATCTCAGATGCTTCTTACAAAAATCAATCTAAATCAATAAATTGTCCACTCTCCTCATGCAGCATTTGCAGAGGTTCAAAGACAGGACCAATTACTCTTAAGGTTGAATTGTCAGGTGTCAGATGAGAATATAGAAGTTGAAGCATTATATTTAGGAGCAGATTTATTTAGAGGACCTGAAGAATTTGCTTTGCTATCAACAGGTCTATAAAGAGAGCTTTTATAGCTCACCTGGCAGAAACTGATTCCTTGCGAAATAATAGGAGGAGTGTTGGTTTGGGTTTTTTTCTTTCCTCTTCTTTTTGCACAATTCAATCACAAAGCAGGTAAACTCACACTCAAGCTCACTGTAGTCAAGGCAGTTGAGCTCCTGACCTTGAAGGGCTTTTGGTCCCAACCCTTCTTGCCAAACACATTACCTTTTCATTGCCCAGTTTTCTAGGTGAAGATGCAAATTCCCCGTGCTTCACTTATGGATAATATATAAATGTCTTTATCATGTATTCAGTTTCTTGGGTTCAGTCCCAAAACTGAGACCCCAACCACTCTCCAGGTCTAAAGGTGAACCTTGCCAGAACCGCAGCACACAAATACCACAGCTTATTCTAATCACACAAGATGTTCCCAAGTTTACCAGCTCTCATCCCAGAATACCAACCCCCCCTCTCTTAGCACTCCTGACAAATCAATATGCATTATTATTACGTGCTCAGATACTACATCAGATTTCTGCTCATGCCAAAATTTCAGCTTGCTGTTCCCTGGAGTATTTATGCTTGTGTACTGTATTTAACAACAGCCCATTCAAAATGCTCACAGCTCCTAGGAATGAAATGCACATAATTTAGGAATAGCTGTCTGGCTATTCAGGCATCATGCTGTGTCAAGGGAAAATTAAATCTCTGACTCTCCCCTCTCCTTTAAAACAAACCTGTACTTTGCATCATATTTTGGGGAGCTGCATGGAAGTTTCATAAAGAGCAAGTGAGCAGGGCTCTTTTTCCTGTTTAATGGCAGTGCCTCCCCATTAATGCTCCAAAATGATACAGTAGTTTAAAAAAAAATGCTCTCAGCATGCAGGCATTGTATCACATTAAGAAATCACGATTTTCTAGGCACTGCACAGCATTAATTACACTGAGCATGCTGCAAATTTAAATTAAATGATATGCCATGTTCTGTTGTAAATATCAAAATGGATTGCAAGATACAGCCCCATATTTGCTTCTGATTGGCATTTGTGCACTGAACAGGATCAGAAAACCTCTATGATATATAATTTATTTTTGTTTTTCAGGTGCACCTGATGCAAACGTACTTTTTATTTTCAGGAGTACCTAAGAGCACAGTTATGGGTCAGAACTTCCCTGTACTGAAAAAAAAAAACCAAACAAACCCTCCCTCAATAATAATAATAACAATAAAACAACAAAAAAAGCCCTGTTTGCCTTCATTCCCCCCTCCTGACACAACAAAATAAAATATGTTTCTTTCCCCACAACAATTATTTACAATATAGGGAATGGAGGGGCACTGAGAGGAAAATGGGGAATATGAGGGACCTGAAGCAGGAGGATCTTATTTTTTGTCATGGAGTTGAGTACCCAGGATACCATTTAAGCAAATGTGGGGTTCAGATCACCCCAGCAGAGAAGAGCTGCTCTTTAGAGCTGGAGTTTAAGGCAGAAGAGGAGTGAGGGGTGAGCTGGGCTTGGGGCTGGCTCAACTCTATTGTGATGAGGCAAGCCTGATCTGGTGATTCAGTGAGAAAAACTGAAGAGAATATAAGCAATAAAAGAAGGTCTGTTAGTATTTGTATTTTTCTCAGCACAGATATTTTGCAATTTTATAATATCAGATTGACTTGTCACAATCTCATGAGCCTCTGCCCTTAAACACCAGGGTGAGGTGTATTTCTAGTGTAATTTCACATATTTCTATGCGATTAAATACTAAACAAATATTTTACAACTTTGCACATCAGAGAAAGGATGGCATTTAGTTATTTGTATAGAGACAGCATTTAAAAAAAAAAAATCTGTATTTTTCAGGGCTGATTTAAGACCTTTAGGAAATGATGAGCCCTGAGCTGAGAACTACAAAGTGAGTGCCAGCCTGCACAAAAGCATGAGACATAAAGAGGGCACAGCAAAAAAATGTGGGCAGGGACATACAGAGCTACCAACGTCTTCAAACGCAAGATCACCATAATCTGTCTAAATTATCTTATCTTTTCTGTGTCTTTTGCTTTTAGGACTAAACTCCAGTTTTCCTGGCCCATTTTGCACCAGTCTTTTGTGTACAAGAACTACAACTCTGGAACAAACAAACAAACAAAAAATAAAATAAAAAAAGCAGCCTGATCTAACCCAGAACAGTGAATGGACATTGAAACCAAGCTGAGGATGCCTCAACCTTGTAAAACCTTTTTCTCTCATCTTCTGAAGAAGAAATTCCTCTGGAGTCTTCCTCAGTTAGTCTGAAATACGCTTCTGCTGGTCAGGAGTGAAATATTCTTATGAGCTTTTTGTTTTTCTGCTGGGCATCAGATAAGACAGTCTTTGTCCCAGCTTTTACTGGAGCTCCCAGTGTCTCTTTTGGGAATGATTCTGTGTGTTCAGGAAGTGGCTGGTGAGCACAATAAAACCTGTATGACTCTGAGATGGTTGTTCCTTTGTGCATCAATGTCTCACAGACACCAAGGTGGCATATTCAGCTTTTAAAGACGTGCTTTTCCCTGGGAGCTGCACGAGGACATGGAAGGGTGTCTGACTTTCTCCTGTGTCCAGGTAGTGGTCAGTCAGGTGAGAGGGACAGCATCAGACAAACCCTCTCCATAAGTAAGTGTATACCTGATGAAAATAGGTGTTTGAGAACTGGCCTTCAGCTCTCTCACCATCTTTCAATGCTTGCAGAAAAGAAAATAAGACAAAAAACCCCAAGCCAAAGATGGTTTATGTGCAGCTCAGGAAGCTCTCAGCAGTGAATGTGTCTGTGATTTAATAACACATCTACCCAAAACGACACTTCTAATATTCACTGAGAGAAAGAAGGCAGAGCAGTGTGGGGCAGAACCAGCACACAAGGCACTGCTATTGCAACAACAAACAGCTAAACTACCACGTATTTATTTTTCAATATGCACAATTGTTGGAATTGGAGAATGAAAATTATTCCTTGACACACTGATGGAACCATAGAAAGCCCTGTGCTTCCCCTCACTCCCATGGTCCTGACAAGAAACAACTCACAAATTCTAATAAATAGAAGATAGAAATAAATACTTTAACTACTGGCATCAGGTTGGAATGGTTTTCTGAATCGGAAAGTGCTGCTCGTACATCTTCCTTATTTCTACACCCTGTAATGGTGGCTCTCCAAAAGTCAGAGTCAAAGTGAGATAGATACTACAAGGATCACAGACACTACCCTGGGAAACCAAGTATCAATGGTACATCCAGATTTATGGTAGGTGATGGCAGTAAAGTGAAAGCAAAACTGTTTGCACAGTCTGTATTGTTGCCCATTACTGTGTATTTGCCCTTTTTTCTTGCTTAGCCACGGCTGAAAGAATGGAAAATTGTACCTTCTGTACAGTATTAGGAGACACTTACTGATCGTAAGGTCAATCAGACTAGTTTAGCTGCTTGAGGTATTTATGGCACAATCACTCAGTGTCTTTAAGGAAAGGTTAGATACATTTATGGGAAAGGTATTTTGCAGAAGCCTTCCTGTTTCATAGAGGTCTTGGACAAAATGACCCAGGAGGCCCCTTCCAAGTCTATCAAATGTGGTTCCCTGATTGATGCTGTTTCCCCCCAAAGTCTTTTCAAAACACAAAGCACTGTTATAAAATTTAATATGATACACTATATAACTTTAACACAATGCCATTTTCTTATAGGAAATGGTTTGCTGGTAGCGCAGGAGCCTCGTGCAAAAGGAAGGAAAGTAGGAAAAAAGAAATTGCAGTGCAGTTTCTCTGCCAAGGGATATCGACTGTAACATTTACACTGTATCTCAGTATGGACCCTCAGCTGTGCAGGGGGACACCAAGGCATGAAGGGATATCAGTAACCCGGACTGTGGTATATATTTCTCCAGAAAAGCCCAACAAGGCCTGAGGTAATTTTCTATGCTGTGCAATAAGCATTCCCTCAATGCTGCAAAGCAAATGGACATGGAGATCTCCTTGTAAATCACTGCCTGGTGCTGTAATTTGCTGAATGTTTCCTAAGTTTACTATTTTTTTTTATCTTTCAAACCATTCACATATTTAAAAGTTGAATTCATGTTAATGGATTTTTTTTTAATTTAAAAAAAGCCAACCAGATTCTCTGGGTCATTTGGTTGAGATGTTCTGGTTGGCCTCCACTGCTCTGAACTAAGTTTTATGTTCTCACAGGCAAAAAAAAAATAAAAATATATATATACCCAGAACTTTACTGAATTGGAGTTTACTCTCAGAACCATTTTATACAAACCTTTTTATTTCCACTCCAGTTGATTTGGTTAATGGACAAACTCCTCTTCCAAAGAACAGCTCCCAGTCCCCGTATTCTTGGGACACCCCTGACAGGAAATAACATCCATACACAGACACTCCGAAGCCCTTTAAAGTCTCACAAATGTGAGCTGTTCCCTTTTGCAGAGCAGGCTGGGATTAACTCTTTTATTAACCTTCTAACCTCATCCATGAGAAAGAAAAATAGCCACACACACCCCTTTTTTTTTTATTTGGAAGCTTGCATCCTTCTTTATGTAAACATGCATGTGCTCACACCAGAGACAGGAGAAAAAAAGCCCATGGAAAGCTCCCTTACCATGAGGAGCTCCCCAAAACCCCTCTTGGGCCCTCCCATTATATTGTACTCAGTGTCAAAGTTTGTGTTTTCATTGGAAGACATTTTCCCCCTTTACCATAAGGCTTGGGTCTCTCTATTTGAATCATATTGGTAGGAGCAAATAACAACCTTTTCATTCTTTTCAACATGTTGCATCAATGTATTTTCCTGATTCCTGTGTCAAAGAAGTGACTTTTAGCAAAATGAAAAATCTGACCTGGCTGTAATCCTGACAGTGCTCCCATTGCTCATCCTTAGCTCCATCCCTGCATTGCAGTGCAGAGAAGACACTCACGTCGGAATAGCTCTTCTCACTGGAGACAAAATGGTAAAAATTAGCCCCAGAGAGTGACATGAGCAGAAATTTCAAAGGCAGGAAAATTTATCTCCTGCTCTTTGTCTTACAGTGTGGTGCACTGTAGTGGTTGGAAGATTTAGCTTCCAAGCATCCCATCTATATAAATCCTACTGGACAACAGCTCTCCGGCTTCTTTTTTTAGGGCGGTTGAGCTCAGCAGCTGGAATCTGCCAGAGAATGAGGGTCGAGGTAAGGATGGAGAAAAACTTTCCCCTAGATTTCAGGTGTTGGTCAAGGGTCAAGATTAGGAAACAGCCAAAGCCAAACCAACCTCTCAGCTCCATCTCCTTGGTGTGTTGCATGAGGTCACAGCTATTTGACCGTGATTTTGGCCAAGCCCTGTCTCTCCTCTGCTGCAGCTCAGCCCATTAACAGCCCTGACAATACAGTCCCCCTAAATCTAAATCAAAAGCTCCACTTTAGGAGGCCAAGACACTTAAAAATCTTGAATGGGAAGGACAAGTGAGGGAGGTAAAATATCTCTCCCTTGTAAAGGCACCCAAATAAACCCACTTTGATGAGAAGTTTCCAGCTGCTTTGCTGGGTAAACAGACACATCACAGTCCTGACGTGCAGGGATGCCCTTCACCAACAGGCAGAGAAAAGAGGTGGTGGGAAGAGTAAGAGGCACCAAAATAAAAAAGGCGGGATCCAACTGCATTTTTTTACCTTCTTTGATCTTTGAAAACAGGAAAACCCATGCAGGATCAGGAATTTCCAACCTGGGCTGCATGCACCATTAATTGTGCCATGAAGCAGAGCTGGTTTGCTATTGTTGTCTTCTCCACAAGAATCTCTTTGGGGCTCAGGAACTCCATTTCCCAGTTTTCAGTTAATACTTCAATGATTATACATAAATAATAGTAATGATAATCATAACAATACCTGGCTTGCCATTATGTTGTACTCAGTCTTTGTGATGCCTCTCTCACGATAAAATCTGTGTATTAAACACTTTAATTGAAACTCTTAATAAAACAGAGGTATTTTCACTTGTGCAGTTCTATTCACATAACGATCACAAAGCACTTTACAGAATTAAATAAAAGTAGCCAGTCTGATCCTTCTGTAGAAGATTTTGTGCACCTCAGTAATGTATAACAAAGCTGCTCTGTAGACAATTAATTGTCAAACATACCGTATTTTGGGCTGAGCACCATCCAAACAGCTTGGGGGTTGTCCTTCAGATTGTTCTGAAAGTCTGTAATGCCACCACAAATGGCACAAGAGGGACTGGACGGTCTCACCAACTAGACAAGAGCAGGTTGTGAACCTTTGTGCTTGTATCAAAAGCCCTGGTTCAGAAGGAAAATAGAAAAAAAAAAAAGGTTATAATTTTCCTGGTTTAGGAAAGTCTTGATGTGCCATGGAGCTGAGTACTGAGCAGCCTCCATGGGGTCACTGAGAGAGGACAAGGCAAAACCTGGTGCTGCAAATTCTAACGCCAAATGGTGCCTCACAAGGTCTAGGAGGGGTCTCAAGCTTTGGGCCTCGTAATAGGTAGTTCTGGAGCTGTGAGATGGTGAAGGGCTTTGTTCCCTCGTGTATAATTGATAAATTACCATTGTTAGTACTAAACAATACTACTGAGCACAGAATGGAAACATGCTAATGCTTTATCCATCTCGAGCAATTCTGCTCTTGTGCTCATACTGTTCTTAAATGTGCTAGATATTTGTTTGATGAAACAATAAGTTTTAGAAAAGAGAAAAATAAGAACTTTAAAGATAATAAAAACCTTGACTGCATACTTTACGACAGGCAGCTGTGAATAAGCTTCAGTACTCTTTATTTTTAACATTCCAGATATGTAATTTAATGTGGGTCTAATGACAGTCTCGAACATACTGCTTTAATCGAAATTGTTCAAGCTCTGTTCTGTGACAAGGGCTCACAAGCTACCAGCAGGGTTGTCCATTTTCCCCATTTCTGCAGGGAAAAGAAAAGGGAGGGGAGGGGGACACTCTTGAACTTATGTTGCTATTGATGTGTAATATACAATAAAAAAACAGTTAAATTTCAATTACCCACAGGTAATTATAATTTTATTGTTTGACTGTACTACGGGGATTTTTGTAATTCCCAAGACTAATAATTTTCTGTAATTTTACAGGTTGTCAAATAAACTATTAAAGATTATCTTTGAAAAGGATTCTGCAATTGTAAGGACATATCATACTGTTCCTGTACATTATTAGTAATTAGAGATCCCTGGATAGTGAAATATCCGCACTATATGCTAGCTGCTGGATACCATATTTTCTCACAGCCTCCTGTAATCTTGAACCAAAGCTTTCAAACTTCTCAGCCATTGTAGCCTGAGTCACGTCCAAACTTTTATTAATATTCACTGTGCACTCATTAAGCAATTCTGGTGCATTCGATACGTTAAATCTCTGCTTCCTGATGGGGAAAAGCAAAGGCTTCCAGGTCCATCCTGGAGTAGTGGAAATAAACACAAAAGGACTAATTCTGAACTCTGTCCCCTGATGAGGACATGGGGAAGAAGCAACATTTATAGCAGCACAAAAGATCTGAATCTGTCCTGAATGCCTTTCGACAATGATGTGGCTGGCACAACAAGATGGAATTGTGCTCCCTGATTTTATCCTGAAAATAAGCGTAGATGCAAATATGCTTGGGATTAGCACTGGCTTAACTCAAGGAGGGGCAATGGGATGGGCAAAGCCCACAAAAAGCAAGAGATTTTGGGGTATTCCCTCATCCTCATCAGCGAGTCCCCCCTATATTCACTAGGACTTTGGTGAGGACTCCCCAGACCACTTTCTCTCCCACTCCAGAGCTCAACATCCACAGAGCTAAGGAAAGCAGGCAGCAACTGCTCTCAGGTTAGCTGGCAGCAGCCACGGGCCACTAGAGCAGCATGTGCTATGTGACAGCTTCCTTCATCTGTACATGCAGTGCTTGGTGAGAAACTCACAGCCTTACAGGGGTGTAATCCTGAGGAGGACCAGAGGAGGGATGAGCTGAGAAGAAAAGCAGACCCCAAAATGTTGCACAGAGCATCTGGGCACGGGCTGTGAGGGCAGAGAGTGTAAAACCACGCAAGGGGATTAGCAGCTGTAGAGATTGTTGATATCTCGCCTGCAGAGCCATCAAAGGCACCATTCTTAGCTGGCAGCATTTTTTTATTGCAGCTGCCCCAGGAGATAGTCATTATTTGTTTTATTGGCCTCTTGGATTGCTGTGTGGTGGAGGCTCTGTGCAGAGGGAAACTTCAGCACATTAAGATTTCCTTCTGGGCTGAAATCTTGGTTTCAGGACGTGAAGACTTTCACACCTCCACCCTTACTGGGGTTTGCACGTCCCAAGCAAGAGCATCATCCCACCACACTGGACACATCTGCAGGGAGGGGTTTGCCTTCCTCCTGCTGCCAGGAAGCCTCTGTGGCAGCTGCAGTGCTCAGCAAGGGACCTGGTGAGGGATTTCCCTCACACCAGGGAGCGTGGAGGGTGGATTGTGTTGGTTTTACGGCGGTGTGGAGCCGGTGGAGCAGTATAAAGATACGGGAGCACAGGGAAGGATTAAGGCCAATGGACTGCAGCTCTCTGAGTTCCTCTAGAGACAACTTTGATGGAATCCAATGTATTAAATCTGAGGAGTCAGTATAGACATATGCACTGAGCTCTCCTTTCCAAGGTCTGCTTGTCTTGCTGTCCCGTGCTCATCCTGCACGTCTGGGAAGGTGTGGGAAGAAGGATAGCTGATAATTTGGAGAGCTCTTCAATCAGTGGCATTTCCTGCTCCTCATGGCCTCTCTGCCTACTAACCCATCTCAATGAGACTGAGCCCATTACTCCAGATGATTGGCATTTATTATAAATGGAGGGGAGAAAATCCAAAGCCCAGAGAGAAGGCTCAGTATGTTTCTGGATAACAGATGATACCATATACAAATACACAGCCCTCTTTCCCCTCAATTTTGGTCTGTGTTTTGCCTGCTTAACACATTCCTTCTTGCAAGTAAAACACGTTCTGACAATTGAATAGTGAAAGCAATTAGAAACAGAATTAATTGATAAAATTAAAGCCCTGCTTTCCTTATGTTTGTCATATGACTACAAATATTGTCACTCCCATTAATATTAATTAATATAATTATCAATGTTTCTAATCCCTACACATTTTGTTGAAAAGTTACTCTTAGCTCAAGAATATAATTGTTAAGTCGTGGAAATGTTAAGTAGCAGCTAAGCAAGTCCAAAGAATTAATAGCAAACTGTAGTTTATCCAGGGATTAGACTTTTAGCAATACATAATCACCTCTTCATGTGTTCATCCACATAAAATACTTTCCATCCCTCACTACACTTCTGCCTACTTGTCCTTGCAGAGCACAGTTTTCAAGAATTAAAAGAAAAAAAAAAAAGAGAAGATAGTAAGTAAATATTCTTTGCAGTTGCACAGTTTTCTTCAAGGTAAGTCACTGCACTAAGAGTTATGTGCCCTCAGCTGAAAGCAATGTCAAGGTCAATTATCTCACACTGAAAGCCCTAATGCAAGAGACTTTTGTGATCAGAATAATATATGTAACATTGCAAAGCCTTTGTTTTGGGCTTGAGGAAAGCAACTCCACTCTCTCTAGGCTTCCCAACGCGTTGTGTCTCAGTTTTGAATGTCACAGATTATTCCAATCATCTGAAGGACTGCCTTGCCATGCTGCTGCCATTTGAACAGCTTTTCCTGTGCCGAGGGCCCCGGGATGTGGAGCAGAGCCTTCCTTCCTTGCCACCTGCCCGGTTCCTCGACGGACAGTCAGCAATTCCTGCCTGGCAATAGCATCACAGCAGTCGTTCTGCATGGAGTATTAATCAACTCTTTTGGAAAACAGCCAAAGTGCTTTAAAGGCCTTTGTTGTAGGTTGGAGGGGGTTTTTTTTGCTGCTAGAAGAGAATAATGTAATCATTTTGCTATTAATTTTTAATTGTATGTTGCCATGCTTTATTACCAATCTATACTGATTTTCCTAAGAGAAATGGGGATGCTGTGCAAGCGGTATCTGTTAGGAACATGTTGGGCCACACTATAAGAGAAGTGACAGGAAAAAGCTGTTCTTTAAAGTTATTGCAGTCACCTGCTGCTGTCTGTTCCTACAAGGTATCACATTAAATACTTATAAAATGTATGAGCTTAAGAAGATTCATGGAGAAGTGCCGCAGCTTTTCCCTGTTGTCAGGTGTTTTTCTTTGCTTGTTTTTGTTGCGTTTGGTTTCTTTCCTTTTTTTAATGGCCACCCTTTGCAAGGAAAAGTTAATTCTGAGAAATCTTTTGCAGGCAAACCAAACTCACTGACATGGATGAGATCAGCAGCAAGAGCAAGAAATACTTATGCATGAATTCTTCTTGGAAGACAATCATTATCAAAAATGCTAAGATTCAGCCCACTGATACAGCAGATACTGGTAGAGAAATGATTGTATCACTCCCTTGTATCCTTCATTTCATCTAAGAGAAAGCTGGCCATGAGGGGACAGGAAATCTTTAATCTCCATTTCTTCAACTATCTGGTTCTTATCAACCCACATTGAGCATGAGCCACACAAAAACTTAATGACGTGTCCTCCACTTAATAAAACAAATGCAAACAAAGCACAGACACTTCTCTAGTGTGAGATGGATTAATCACAACCAAATATTACATGGGAGCAAGTCTGAAAAGCAGTTCTAAAAAGGCAGCATGGCTGTAAATTCAGGAAGAAATCAATTAGACAAAAAAAAAAAAAGAAAAATTATGTAGAAAGTCTACACTTTGCAGGAGTCTAAGTGGCAGGAGGAGGGTTAGAAGGACACTTCATCTGTTCACCCCAATATTTGAATATTACCCTTTGCCAAGAAAAATCTTGGGTTTTTTTCTCTTGAATCCCTAATACTAATTATATATTTCTATACAATACTATTTGTATTATGTAATAAACAGAGAGGAGATTGTATCATGTAATATTCTATAATGTATAATCCCTATAAGAAATCACCCTATAATAAATGATCTGTACAAATATTTGTTCATACTTTTATTTTATAGATAGTAAATAATTGGTTAAAAGTATTAATACACATTTGCATAAAATAGTCATAATATTTATTAATAGCTAACTAACAAATTATTGATTATTAATAAATTATTAATGAACAAATAATTATCAATTAACAGCTAAAATATTGTTTGTTATTAATTATTATTAATAAAAAATTAATTGATAATGAATAGTTTACAATCTATTTATTGATAGATATATGTATAGAATATTTATTAATATATTTTACCAATTGTTTACTATCTATAAAATAAATGTATGAATTTATATCTTAGTTTAAATAATTATATAACACTATTTAATAAAATTTATTATATTTTTTGGCAAATATTGAAGGTTTCCATAATTTTTCAGACACCTGAGAAATTCCGGTGAGAATTTGCGAAGTTTGCACCCAGTTCAGTTGAATTAGTTTCAAAATAGATAAATGGGTGCTTTTCTTGAAAAAGAATTAGACACGTTAATTTTCAACAGAAAATTTCTACCTGATCACTTCCAAACTACAATTTTAGTCCTGGCATGGTCATCAGTCAAAAATGTGCCTTTGCCTTCTCCATATCCAGTTCTGCAGGATACCCAGGACTGGTTCAGGAAAACACTGAAACATTCCCACTAGGTCCAGTAAGCACCTTTTCCAAATAGTGATTCTTTCCTGAGCTGGGGCCAAGATAGGTCAAGTATAGGAAAACCAAAAATGCAGATAATGAAGCAACGTGCCCATAAATCCCCAGCAAATTAGAGATTAAACCTCTTGCACATCAGCCAGTCCAGTTGCTCAGTTAACTGTGGTCTTGTCCCTTTTTAGGTCAGAGAAAGACCCTCTCATCAGTGCCTTCTTTGAGGTGCTGACAATGCACTGATCCTCCCTGATTTTATGAAGTGTGTGGAAGGTGTCAAAGTGAACCATATTTTTGCTACTTCCTTCTTTATGGTCGAGAAGTTCTTTTTTTTTGAGCATATTTAACAATATCTGATGAGGCAAATCTACCTCTCCTGTTGGTGCAAGCACAGACACAGGGCAGTCTGTCTCCTTTGCATTTATCATTCCAGGAATTAGTTTAATCAAAGTATATTATTGTAAAACATAACATACAGTATGTTATTAATTTGGATTATCCTGTTGCTTCACAGCTTTGAAAAAATAAGAGAAAAAGCTATTGCATTTGCAGTCACCTTTGGTAGGGAGGTTCTGTTCCTCTGCGTATTTGAGATATTTCTTTCCATCTATTGCACCATCATGTCTCAGTTTCTGAGAGCTATAGATATTTATTCAGTGCCCTTCTATCTTGGCCATCGTAAATAGCTCCCTGATAACAAATCACACTCTCTGAGCATCATTTGCTACCAGAAAGGATCTTCAAGAAGCACATGCTCTGTGACACAGGATATCCCCTGCTTTGTTGTGAATGCCATAAAGAGTTTCACAAAATCAGCTTCCTTCCATTTCGAGGATAAGAATGTATCATCTTTGTAGTGTTACCACTTCTTACTGCCTGTTTAGGCTTCATACTTAGTCACTGCTCCCTTGCTCTTCAAATGAATGCTGCTACTTAAATACAGAGAACGGTATGTGCTCATTGAGAGATTCAAGGATTTCAGCTATCAATAGAGGCTTAATTATCTTCTGGTGGTGCTCAGGTACTCTATCGATGGCTGTTGTATAAAGCCAGCATAGAAGAGACCACTCACAGCTCATCATGTGCTCTGATCCAACAATTTAGAAAAAAAAAAAAAATGTAATGCATAATATTAACTTGCATCTTACTTCCCTATGTCATAACCCATCATGTAATGTTCTGTTATTTCGTGTCATGTCATGCATAACATGATGCAATGCAGTGTCACACTTCAGAAAATATTACTAAGTGAGAACTGATTCTTGTTATCAGTTCAGAATACGAGTCTCTGATCCAAACATATTGTGGCTTCAGCTGATGGGAAGGGATCAAACTGAGAGCTACGATGGGCAAATGTTTTTCTTCTCCAGTTTGGCCAGCAGATGTCCATTTGTCAGGCTTAGGTTCGATTGAAATTTCTTTGTCACGAGCGCTTCCTCTTGTAAAAGAAATAGTAATTTTATGGCAAGCCAAAAGCTGAAAAAAAGAGCCCTTGGAAATACATAATAAATGTATATTAGCAAGACAGAAAATTGGAAAATGGCCACCTGCCAGCAGCCACATAAATTTTGGAGGCAATGCATTTTTCTGCCATTATGCATTATCAGAGGAATTGCAAATATTTATTAAAAGTATTAAAATGGTGAGAATGTTAAATGTTTCCTTCAGTAGTGGAAATTCACAGTGCCACATAGCAGATAGGATATTCTGATACAATGTTTATTAAAATGACTTCATTTTATTAGACTGTCGTACACAATAAATGTGCAGGTACAGTTAACAAAAGATCTATTGTGGATACGGGAGATTTGTGAGTAACACTTCAAAAAAATAATCTCTTCTGAACTCTATTCATATAAAAAGCATGCTACAAACTTTCATTAACTTCCTTAGAACCAATTATTTTCTGAGCTTATTTTCTTTTTCTGCCACCCCACTGTATTTTGTTAGTCAATTTGTTTGCTTACGTTTTAATGCTTAACAGGATTAAATGCAGTTTATCTTTAATTTATATACAAGTAAGCGGAGTGTATACATGTAGCAGGCAACCAAATATTACCATTATTTTGGGGTTCATTTACAGGTCTAAACATGAATGGATAGATAGAATGTATTGGGACACCAGTATCTTTTCATCCATGAATAAAACATTATTAAAAGATCGGTGGGAGCTCCATAATATTGATTGCAAAGAAATCACATTCCAGTGATTCCAGCACATTTTCTGCTGGAATTAATTGTGGTGATTTTGTTCATAAGGTTCCGGCTGCAGCAAGATATGGACACAGTGAACACCACTGATGTCCCAAAGCCTCACAGGGCAACTTTTCTGGTTGGCTTTGCCCCTTGCAGGAGGGTCTGAGCACTGATGGGAAAAGCGGCACAATTCCTACATGAGCAGGTGATTTGAGGAAGTGAAGGGTTTAGGTCTGTGAAAAGTCATTGAATAATCAGCTCTCGGGACAGAGTTAGAAAGCAGCTGGATTAGAAGGGATACCTTGAGATAAACAACGATCACAAGATCTGAGATGAGATTGTTGCTGTTGGAATGGAAACAACACCACTTCTGTGCTCAGCAGTTCCCCGAATCAGCAGTGAAAGGAAGGAGTGAAATAGTGAAAACAGCAAAAGCTATTGCCTTCACAACTGAAACTGTCATCTTAGTAGCTTTTAAGAGTCTATTTTTTTTTTTAAGAAATGATCAGAGAAATAAGAAACCAGTATTGTTTGGGTTCTTTTTACATGAGGATTCCTCAATTCCTAGTAATCCATTAAGTAAGAGGTGCAATTGGAGTCTGTGTTGTAGGCAGAGGGTGAATAGATCAAAGTTACAAGACCTTAGATTTATGAAGAGCCTTATGCAAAAAAAACAAAAAACAAGCAAAACCAAACAAACCTGACTCTGAAAGATAAAATTTCAGAAATAAAGGATTTTTCTCTCTGCTTTTATATGGTGCAGTTTTATTCCTTTCTGACAAACATGGAGCACTGGAGAGGGGAGTAACTTTCATGAAAAATAACACTTTGATCCAGACACTTGGGAAGGATTTGTGGAATATCAAATGTGGTGCATGGGATTTAACACAAAATGTGTGTGTTGGACAGAGACCTTGGCCGCCTCACAGGTAGAGGCAAATCCTCTGTTGCCTTTGGTGGGGGCAGGTGTGACACCCCCTCTCTCCCTGCTGCAGAAAGGCAGAAACCAGAGCTGAGATTTGCTCTGTCCAAAGCACTTGGATAATTCAGTCTGTGCAAAAAGTGGAGTCAGCACTTCAAGCAAGGCAAACCCATTTGCTTGGCCAACCTTATTTAATATGAAGCATGTTTTATCTTGATTTAGGTGGTTGTTGTTCTTTAATTAAAGAAATTATAGGAGGTCATTCTCATTAGTTTAGAAGAGTCCTCACAGAAGGGGTTTGCACTGATTTAACCTCAGGGTAAGCTGGCACAACTTTTGCATGTAAATAGGATTTAACACTGGACATTTTGTGTATAATCCAGCTCTTCACTTGTGACATTCAAGGAATACTTGGAATACTGACTGGAATAAAAAGATAATGCTGATAAGCTGGGGTCTTACCGTGAAATTTGTCAAATGATCTGCGGTGGCAGCCCGGAGCCTCTGCACCAGCGGGGAAGGGACACCACGGGGCTTTCTGCTGGGGGCAGTCTAGGCAGCACTTCCCATCCCTGCATGATGACATGAGGAGATATTGTACTCAAATCCCATCGCTCACGTCTGGCCAGATGGAGGACTAGCTGAGGGGCACAGAAATTGGGCACTGAGAGGGGAAAGCGGGGTGTTTCCCCACTAGCCAAGGAAGCCGTGCCTTGGGGCCGGAGCGTGGCACAGGTGCGTGGTGGCAGAGGGGCCACCACTGCCATGGAAGGTTTGCTGTGAAAAGGAAAAGGAAAAAAAAAAAAAGGCAAAAAAAGCAGCGGCATGAGAAGTGCCAAGTGAATGACGCTGTCTTTAATTGGTACCACCAAGGGCTTTGTGCGGTCAGCACGCTTTTCATGTTTGTAATAGAATCCCCAAATTCGACTGATCTGAAGGGCATCTGACTGTTTTACATTAATCACAAGCTATACAGCAGAGGCTTGAGAGCAAGTGGGCAGATACCCTGGTGGAGTAGCACTAAGGAGCTCTCATTATAATCACCCTGCCAAATCAAAAGAAAAACCCTAAGGCTCCTAATAAAGGAGACCACTGGACTAAACAAATTGAACAAGTAGCTAGACATGCATGAGCTTCCAACTACTGGTGTCAATCACATCCTTCTGAGCCTCTGCTTCTGCTCGGTGCTCCGAAGCACACGCAGGTGAAACGCAGGCTCTATGTACAGGTGAGGTGCCAGCACACAGCCCTAGTGCTGGGGAAACAGGTACAGGTGCAGTTTGTAAAGGCACCTGCAAGAAGTCATTGTTAAACATTTGTCAAACCAGTACAGCACTGAGGAAACGGGCAGTGTGGATGGGGACACCAGCAGGCTCGAGCAGGAGGATGTCTGAGCAGGCTTTTCCATCTTGGGAGGGTGGGATGGCTACTTCTGTAGGTTCCAGTTCAGAAGATACCAAAGAAAGGCCTTGAACCTCACAAATTCGTGTGTCTTTAGGACAGGGAAAAGGTGCAGTACCCTGAAAGCCCTGTGCACTTCTCACCTTCCTGCACCTGTTGGTGGAAGTTATTATGTTCATTATATTCCCTACTGGAAGGCAAAAAAACAAAAAAAAAAAATTAAAAAATGTGGGTTGTTGCTTTCTGGAAAAATGCAGTTGGCACTAATGAAAGATCTCCAGAAATGGGAGAACAAGAAAATTCTAAGTTTAGAGGCAAACCTATTGTTTGGGGTTTTTTTTTAAGAAAAATGAGCCAGGTTCCTTTAGCTACCACCCCTCCTCAAAAGCCATCAGGCAGGAAAACAAGATTTTGAGGTACTCCCTCAAAACTCCAGAAAAAAAAAGAGTAAATATCAGGGAAGAAAAAGAAATAAAAATTACTCGAGTGACTATTTAGCACAGCAATCAGGGGAAATGAAAAAAAGGAAGGTTTCAGTAGGGAACAGAGGGACAAGGGATGATGCACTGAAGCATCAGGTGAAGGCATCAAAGGAGAGGTTTTATGGAAAGAAAATTCCCGTTGAAGAACTGGTGGCTAAAACACCGTCAGCTTTTTAAGTATTGGGAAGTTTTACCTACCTGCTTCGTGACCATTGTCAAACACACTGACTGTGCTGGGAGGGCACTGGTTGCTGTCCCCCTGTCACCATCTGAGGGGCTGCACCTCTGTATGAGCCTCATCATGGAGGAGGCAGAACTGGGGCTCCTCTTGCAGGTGTCCTGGTGCCTTTCAAACCTGGAAGGTAATATTTTGAGAAATCATCATTAAATGTAATCCTTACTTTTTTAATTAATTTCTCTTTTCCCTGTTGTTTTTTTCCTATTGCTTCTCTCTATGGTTTGTTTTTAGGTTTTTTTTTCCTCCACACTGTAATAAATCAACATATAAATGTAGTGGATTATTTCCACTTGGAATGTTGGAAGACAAATAGTACAAAAGATCAGTTTGGTCATTTACCATATTGGTTTAGCATGGTAATACTCATGGGTTTTTTTTCGTTTCTCATTTCAAAACTGTAAACAAATGCTGCAAGAACAGATCAAATACTGCCTACCTAAGACAGTGCCTTGTGCAATGAAAACATCAAACCTGGTTTTTGAAGGCCAAACTGCCCCTCCTTTACTTTTCGTAGGGAAAACGCAGAATTTTGAATTAGCCCGAAATTTGAAACTACATTTTTGCCAAGCAGCAAAAATGCAAAAATGCACCCTTAGCACCAGATGCACCCTTAGCCACGTTAAATCACAAACACATACACACATGGAGATGAGGAAAATGCACATTAAATATGAAAAAGTATTCCTTTCAGGCAGAAGATAAACAGCCCTACTACAAATTAGCTCTCGGCCCCGTCAGGTGTGAATCTCTCTTGTCAATACGTACCAAATTCCCTGAGATAGAACCACATGGTCATGAATTTTATTTCTCTCCTGCTTAATTCCTAGTACCACTCTCCCTTGTGGATTTACTCAGGGATGATTTACAGTGGGAAAGGTGACATTAAACACGTCATTGAGCATGCAAAGATGCTGCACTCAAAGCAGCATATGCTTGACTTTGTTAAAAGATGAATGCTGTCAACTCCACAGTGCCCACCAAGATCTGGCCTCCTTTTTCTTCCCAACAAACTTTGAGGAAGATGCAGACATGAGTCTTGACACTGAGAGAAATAAAAGTTAATGTATTCATGACATGATTTCACTTGCAGCCTGATTTAGCAATGTCTTGTCTAGTTTGGATCTGCTGTTGCTTTTCCTAATTTACTCATTGCACAAAGAAAATAAATAAATAAGTGCACTATAGTCTTATTTATCCTTCTTTGGACATTTCTTTACCAGGCAGATGGTCAATTAAGAGCACTAAACAATGACACTGTTTTCTCTGTAAACATTTTTTTTCTAATAGCCTAACAAATGAGAATCTGTGCTGCCATACTGCTGAATACCATCTTGACTTTCTAATTACAAAGAACTGTGTCTTGATAGTAACAATTACAGCTGTAACAATGATGCTGGTACTTGAACAATATAGTTGGAGGCAAAGTGCTTATCGGAATATTCACAAATAAAGGCTTACATTTATGCCAGCTCTGGAGAAGGGAGGTTAAACAGTTGGGGGTGGGGAGGTGCAGAAGAAAGGTTGAAAACATTGGTTTAGTAGCTACAGATGTGAGTTTGAATCCAATTACATGAAAGGCAAGGGGGGGGCGAAGCATGAAAAGATGCTGTTTCCTTCTGTTTGGCTAATCAATAGGTTAAAGGGTTAGTAAAATTAACATGTTAATAACATTCATTCTGCTATTTATATACCGGTCATAGTATTCTCAGAGAATTATGTCTTGTGAGCAATATACATATTATTATGCCTGCTTTTTCCCTTTTTTTTTTGTCTGAGATGGTGAAATGGTCAGTATTTTTTCCACCAATGTGATGGAAATTAGCATCTCAAGTCTCTAATTTACCCTACTTTTCTTATTTAACTTCTTAAATCCAACTCTTCCAAGATTTGGGTGGGTTTTTTCCCTTTTTTTTTAATGAAAAGTTCCCTCTACCCCAAAGAAAAGGGGCAGCACAGCCCCTGAGCTCAGCACCCATCCCCAACACTGATGTCCCAGGGGAGCACGTTGGCACCAGGTCGCCATCACAGAGGGAACAGGTTCCTTGGAGGAGGCTCAGCTCCTTCCTCCTGCTCCTTTGTCCCCCTCTGCACCTCTGGTGCCACAGGGCCCCCCACCCCTTGGCACTGCTCTGTGCCCACAGGCAGGATGGCTGTCGCCTCCTCCGCTCCTTCCCTCGCTCCCGCTCCCACAGCGCTCCGCCCGCTCTCCGAGCCGTAATTTAGCCCACACTTATTAATCAGTGCACATAATTTGTCTCTAATGCTGTCAATTTAAGATGGCAACCTGACTTTTTTTTTGGAGGGGGCAGGGTCAACAATTTAATGAATCTCGTCTGCATTTTAATTCAGACCTAATAATCTGCCTCTGGCAGTTTTCTTAGAAAAGCACAACGTTTTCCAGGATTTTCTTTCATCAAATCCAGCACAATGGGATGTTTACCTTCCTGCCTTGGATATGCTCAGCCCAGGGTAAGTCACACACCGACCTACCTTAATCAAACTGGGACACGGACTAAATCTACTGGTTTGGCCTTTGAAGGGTTTTCCTGGGGAAAAGAGAAGGAAAGAAGGAAAGCAGAAGGAAAGAGAAACTTGGAGCTGTGCAGTCCCTTTTCTGCACAGACTGGTGCAGATTGTAGGCAAAAAAACACTACAGACTTCCATGGTTCGCTGCCCCTCATGGAATAACTTCACAAATGGTTGGAGCATCCAAGAAGTGCTTTCTTTATTTACTCCTGTGCTTTTCTTTTTGTCCTTCCTACAGTAAAGTCCAGCAGGAGGGAAAAAATGTACTGAAAGGAAAGAGGGGTGCAGAAAACTCAGTCCTCCTGATGAAGCAGCGTGGATGAGTTTGTCTAACTGCCGTGGCAGGAGGCTGGAGCCTGACGGAGCAGCTCAGCGGCCTTCCCTGGGTCAAAATAAATAAAACTCCCCAAACAAGAGGCTCTGGCTCCCCGTGTCAGATGTAAACGGAATAGACTTTGTTATTAGGAGCGATGTGCCTTTGCCCGGGCGAGGGCTGCGCTGACAGGAGCCCCTTTCTGGATTTCAGTCAGCTGCTGTCACTTGCCTTGACAACACGGGCAGTTAATGTATTCACGGCGTTCCTGCACACGCATCTGCAATTCCCAGCATATTGTATTGTTTACCCCTGCTCTTTTGTAGTAGTGCGTGTAGTAATTTGCCTTCCAGCAGCAGAAAATTCCTCAACTTAAAATTTTACCCTCATTTTGTTTGCCCTTAATAGAAAAACAACCCTATTGCAGCCCTGCCACCAGCACAGCTACAGTGCTCGGCAGCACCACAAACAGAAAAATGGCACATTTCACATTCCCATCAGAAGTGTCTTCTATATATTTTTATGCATATCCTTCATCTTTTCTCTGCCACACGTTATTTTTTCCCCTTTAACAGCTGCTTAGCATATTTTATGCCTTCTGGACTGGTTCTAAGCAGCACTGGAAGGGGCATTCCAGCAACGTACCTGAGCACTGACAGTAACAGCAGAGGGGTTTTATGTCCCAAATTCCCTCCTAGTGCTGGTACTCCTGTCTGCCAGCACAACAAGGTGCTTCTGGGGCAGCTACTGCTTCACAGTCCTACAGCACCTCCAGTCCAGTGGCTCTTTGAGTTTTTGGTGAGGAATTAGCTGTGATTTAACTGATTTACCCCCTCATATTCATTACTGTCCCCTACTGCAAAACCTGCCAGATTCAGGTGTCTGTCCTCACCACATATTACAAGGCAGCCCCATCTGCCACACCACAAATATCACTAAGTCTACTCCATTTTCAAGCTTAAGCTCCAAGCTGGTAATGAAATGAGACAGAAGACCAAACTCCCATACCCTGAGACCCTGCAGGTTAAACGTATCATTTCCTGATACATAAACATCTTTCTCTAGGAACTTAAACCAAAAAAAAGATAAAATAATTCCCTTAGTTCAGGCATCTCCCAAACACAAGGGTAAGGTCATTAGAAAGACGCAATGGGAAATGCAGTGAAATTCTCTCATCTCAGTTGCAGGTCTACATTCAATAGACTCGTGTTAATGCCCTTTGCTTCAGCTGCTGTAGTGTCAGAGTGTTAGAATCCAAGCAGAGTCACCTGAAGTCGTCCATAACACGCTACTTAGTTTAAATTCCTTTGTCTGGCCACAAATGTCCAGTTCTAGCTAAAAGCTTGAAAGTGAGACAAATGGTAAAATAGACACTTCAAGAGAATAAAATTGTGAAGTGCTCAGGTAGCACTGTGGAGAAGGGAGTTTCAATTCAGAGGGCTTTCCAGATAAAACAGACAATTAAACTCTTATTGTAAAGAGATTCCTCCCTCCCCGCTTTTTTCTTTTTTTCTTTTTTTTTTTTTCTTTAAAGCAAGGGGAAAATAATACTGGGAATTTAGAAACATGAATTTTTAAAACCTAATAAGCTACACTAACAATCTACACAATTCCCTTCCGTTAAAATATTCATTTGGAAATACAAGATTTGTGATGAGGGCAGGCTAGGTAAACAGGTCTGAATGCTGCTGGTGCAGGGGGGTCTCAGTGGTACCCCCCAAGGCCGGTGCTATCCTTGGCCATCCTTGGCTTAGCACTGTTCTCCTCCTTGTCCCTCCACATGTTGGAAAATAACAGCCAATGAATTGCACAGTGATTTTAAAAGGCGGGGGATGTAAACTGCCCTTTTATATCTGTGGGGACTGTTGGGCAGAGACAGAGAAGGAGCTGAGCAGCCTGGAGGAATAGAGACCTGGCAATGGGACGTTCCAAGCCTTCATGGCCTTGCCAGACTCCCAAGTGCTCCTCTAGAAGAGACCAACTTGCACCTGACAGAAGATTTAGATGTTGACACAGAGACATATTCCATGGATTTGTTTTCCCAGGCACCTGCAGCCACACCTTCTATGTTGCTCCCCATAGGACCATGATATCTGCTGTACTGTGAGTACAAAAAGACACTTAGAAACTCTTTGGAAAAAAGACATTCACACATTTTAATGAAACCTCCAAGAAAAGGGATGAAAAGCCACTCTTCAGTAGTTAGAGAAATAGTTTTAGGCTTGATTTCCTTTCCCTCCCCTTCTCACCTCACCCCAGTACCAAATACATTCAAACT